TGTTGACATTCCAGGTCTTGCTCACAGACCCAAAATAAAAGTCTAGTAATGCTGGGCTCATTGGGTTTTGGAGCTGTGTGTTGGTCAGCTCAGGGGAAGGCAAGTAAGATATTTTCTATGGGAATACTGCTCCCTCCCCCCCCAACTTTGTGCAAAAGAAAAGTTATTTCTTCCCAACCACACCAGCTGGAGTAGATAAACCCCCACCTCTGAGCCAGACTGTTTCCCTGGGTTCACTGAGTATTGTTGAAGAGTTAACAACTAACCCCTGTGACGCTGCATCCCTTACTCACTCAAACTCTGTGATATGCCCAGGCATAAGCCTGGAGTGAAATCAGGTGTGTGTGTGGGTGGACCCACATCTTCCACTTGCACCCAACCAGTGACCCTTGAGAAGGTCTTTAATCTCCACCTCCTCATTCAGTAAATCATTAACGCCCCCGCAGGGGCAATAACTTTAAAAGGCCCAGCTGTTACAGGGACACCCCTCACTACTAGGTCCCTGCTCTGAAACCAGCACAGGAAAAAGCTTGTGGCTCAAATCCTTTCTTCTCCTCCTGTGAAGGGGGGATTAAACCAGCATCTCAGGTAAGGTATCCTAGGTCATACCAGGCTTCTTGCAAATGAGTCCTGTTTTGCCCCATTTAATAGTTAGTGGAACAGCTTCCAGAGGAAAGAAGCTCCCTCTTCAAACCTGTTCTTAACAGGCAGGGAGAAGAGTTGAAGCAGGGTCTGTCCCCACCCCCCAAACTCTCTCAAGATCAGCAGCCTAACCTCCAGTCTATAGAGCAATTCTGAGCCTTTTGCTGGCCCAACTGGTAATTAATTGAAGTTGAAAAGCTTCAAGATGCTGGCTTTTCTCCTCTATCTGGTGTGCAAAGCTGTAACCACTGGAGCTCAGAGCCAAGTCTGAGCTGGAGGTTGCTCTGTCAGCACCAGTCACAGCAGATCAGGGAGTGTCTGAGGCACAGTGAACATCTGTCCTGCCCCAAAGGCCCTGAGTCTGCTACTGCCCATGCAAAACCCAGTGGCTGTTTGTCAACACCACAGAAACACCATTCCACAGAAGAGGGAAACATTTATTTCATGGCTCTGCAGAACCCGTAACTCACCACAACTGGCAGTGTCTGCTCAGATGAGGTCTGGGCCTACAATGCCAAGGTGAAGGAATATAAGGCAAGGGTGAGCTGTCTGTTCTTGATGTTTGGAGTCGGGGAGCCCAGGACTGGCATAGCAGTGGACTGTGGGTCAGGATGGAGAAGCGCTGGCAGTGGGGTGCTCAGGACTGGATGCGGGGGGCTGTGGGTCAGGACTATGGGCACAGCTGGGGTGTGTGTGTGGGGAGCTCAGGCCTAGAATTGCAGAGGGGGGTTATGAGTGAGAGCCATTGGCAGAGCTGGGCGTGTTGGAGGTTTGGTGAGCTCTTGCCTGCCCTTCTCTCAGCACTGTTAGTGAGCGCCAAATCTCCCTGCAGAAGACAATAAGTGAGTAACTCATGCCCTGACACACAAAAGGTTTGCAGGTGCCTCCTGGGTTTTCAGATCAGCTTCTCATTGCTCTAAACCCCCACGACATCCCATCCTTGGCTGATAAATAAGTTGGAGAGCCCTGGGCTTGACTCAAAGCCCACTCAAGGCAATGGGAAGACTTAGTGAATCCAGAGCTTTGGATCAGCTCCATTTTGAAGAGGGTGGGGATTAGGAGGTGACCTCTGCCACATGGAAACCACTTCAGTTTCTCAGGAAATCATTTTCCAGCTGGTTTTTCAGACTGTCTCCTTCTCTCTCCTTAAATACCCATAGAGAGAGGTGTGGGATGCTGTATGGACTATAGATGACCATTTATAGCTTTTCCATTGATACTTTACATGGCATATCTTGTAAGATGCATTGTAATTGGGTAATATTGATATCAATAATATTATAATTTGCTAAGTATGATCTTGTTCATAGTAACATATCATCTTTGTATTGTGAGTTAATATGTGATATCTGTATCTCAAACTTGTGCTGTTTCTGGGTGACACCCCCAGACAGATTGTCCTTGATAGGCAATTAAGCAGGCTACATAATGCTGACGCCAATCAGCTATACAGTGAAGCCACTGAGAGAAGGCAGCCATTGATGAGTCAGCAGGACCTGTACTAGGGACATGCCTGTGGGCAGGGGACTCAAATGCTTTTCTGTGACCATGTGCTGTGAGCTTCTGTTTGGGACAGAGGCTGTACAAGCCACATAGGAAAGGCTATAAAAAGGCAGCTGCATAGTCTCTATTTTCTTTTCAATCCTGCTTCTCACCTCTGCAGTAACTTCTCTATAAACTGAAGCTTTGAACAAAGGACTGAGACACCCATCCAAACTTTGGATGTGTTCCAGGGGGACTTTACAAGCCAGCAAACTCACCAGTACTGCTAAGAACCTGATATATGGACTCTGAAGTCATATGTATGTATCTGATTGCTTTGACCATTTATCAACTCTGGTCTTCCCTTTCTTTTATAATAATCATTTAGCTTTAGATACTAAAGGAATGGCTGGCAGCATGGTATTTTGGGTAAGATCCAAACTAGCATTGATTTGGTAATGTGGCTAGCCTTTTAGGGATCAGAAGAACATTTTGTATAGCAAGTTTTAAATTCCCTTCTCACTTTAATGGACCTATTTGCTGGTGGGAGTAATTTCTTTTTTAGCCTCTTGATAACCAGTGTGGGGGATCAGGAGCACAGTTTGACTGGTTGGTGAATCTAACCAAAGTGTGAACCACCAGTCTTGGGGATAATCTGCCACAAGGGAGGATTTGGTGACCTAAGATGGCACCATCCAACACTTTCTTTGTAGTAACCACATTGTTCCTCTGGCTGCTGTGCTCCTAATAACTAACCCTCCAGCTGTTGCAGAGATGGACATGGGTCTTGTGGGCTTTGGCCTATTTTTCATCCTTTTTGGGGTGCTCTTGTACTTTGACTCAGTGCTGCTGGCCTTTGGAAATGTGAATACCTCAAAACCTTGGCCCCCTTCCTTGCTATTCCTGAGGGCAAAATATAGCACTAGGACAGGGGCCCAGACACCACAACCCCTCTGCAAACAGTCATGGCTCTCATGGTGGAGTGTGCCAGCCCTTTGGCCCGGTACAGCTTCCTATTATGAGAGGAACAGGGCTAGTCTCTGTTCAAATCCCACTCAGGTTTGTGTGACAAACTTGCTGGGTTTCAGTCCAGCTGTGCTGGTGTCCCCATCCTTACACTCACCACAATTGGTGCTAACTGATCCCCTTGAAGGCAACCTTGAAAGAGAAGCCAAGAATCAAATCACATGGAGACTAAACTATTATCTCCCTACTGGGGATGCTCCTTCCCAATCAGGGTTGAGACACATGGTGTTGGGGACCCTTGTATGGTGCAGCACATACCTTCGGGGTGGGTGGGGGGAGGGGAACTGAGCATTTCAGTCTCCAGGGAAGTCAGCCCAGCACTTCTCCTGCCAGGCACTCAAGTACTTCTAAAAGTTGTCGTGAATTTACAGATACAAATTAAGGGCTTGTCTACACATGGAAATTCATTCAGACTCAGGTAGGGTGTAAATTTAAGATTATCTATTCCTGATTAACTCCATGGATGGATGCTCTTATTCTGAACTAGTTTTAATCCACTCTGGAAACAGATTAATGAATTAGGAGTAAGATACAGTTACTCTGGGATAAGCGCATCCATGCATGGTGTTAATCCAGAACGGCTATTCTGGAATAACTCTCCATACAGATGAGTAACTATTAATGGAATGATGTCAGACTGGAGGGAGGTCTCCAGTGGGATTCCACAGGGATCTGTTCTGGGTTGGGTGTTTAACATTTATAAATGAGCTGGATGTAGGAATAGAGTACACTGATCAAACTTGCAGATGACACAAAGCTAAGGGGGGTTGTTAACACTTTGGAGGACAGAGCTAAAATTCAGAGGGATCTTGATTAAACTGGAGAACTGGGCTATAAGCAACAAAATGCAATTCAGTGAAGATAAATGTAAGATGCTACACTTAGGGAAGAAAAACCAAAAGCACAAATATAGAATAGGTGGTAACTGGCTTTTCAGCAGCACTGCTGACCAGGATTGGGGAATTGTGGTGGATCACAACCTCAGCATGAGTCAGCACTGTGCTGCTGTTGCAAAAAAAAAATAGTTTGGAGCATAGCATGCAAGTCATGGGAGATGATACTACTGCTCTCTACTTAGCCCTGGTTAGGCCTCAGCTGGAGTACGGTGTCCAGTTTTGGTCACCAATGTATAAAAAGGATGTAGAGAAACTGGAAAGGATCTAGAAACTAGTGACAAAGATGATCAAAGGGCTAGAATGCAGCTGTATGAGCAAAGGTTTAAGGAACTGGGTCTCTTTAGTTTGAAAAAGGAGACTAAGGGGGGAAATGATAGCAGTCTTCAAAGGCTGCCACAAAAAAGATGGAGAAGTTGTTTTGCCACAGGAGGCGACAATGGCTTCAAATTACAGTGTAGTTGATGTAGATTAAATCCGAGGAGAACTTCTTAACTATGAAGAACAGCAGGACAATGGAATAGAGGCCTCAGGAGCTTGTGGAAGCTGCTTCACTGCCAGTTCCCAAAAGGAGGCTGGATAGCCCTCTGTCTCAGATGGTTTAGACCCAACAAATCCTGCATCTTGGCAGGGGGTTAGACCAGATGACTCTTATGGTCCCTTCTAACCCTATGATTCTATGGGTACCTCTGCCATTAGGAGCTACAGCAAGATGTACATACCTGTGCTCAGGTAGAGAAATGCAGAGTGACAGCTTTGGCACCTTAGAGCTGCACCTGTCCTGCACAGGATAGGTGGCTCTGTTCATTTTTAAACTGGATCTGTCATTCTATGGAATTACCATACGGGGCAGGAGGAATTTTAAGGCTCTAGGTCTGTACTGTGGAGCAGAGTTTTCCCAGCATGTGCACAAAGCATACAACAGTGTAGGCCTGCAAAAATTCCAGAAGAACCTACCTCCTTCAGGTGTTGTGAACTCCTTAATTTCACTCCGAGGCCCATCTCCTCTCCCGTTGACTACAACCATCTCCAGTTTGTAGTTGCTGTAAGGAAACAGCCGGGACACTAGGCCCCGTGGTCGGTCTCCAACAAAACCCACAGACTGCCTTTTTTTGGAGACCCAGAGGTTCTTCAGCAAACTACTTTCTCTCCAGAAATAGGCCTTCAAGAAATATGTAGGGCAAGTGAAGCTTTTCCCATTCAGGTACAATTGGTTTTAATTAATAAAGCATAACAATTCTTTGCCTCTCAGTGCTTTAGAACAATTAATTAAGCCTCATAACTGCCCAGGAAGTAGGTCAGTAATATTATCTCCATTTTACAGATGCAGAAGCTGAGGAATGGTCAGGCTAAGTGATTTGCCCAAGGTCACAGTGAGTTAGCTGCAGAGATCAGGATGAAACTGAACAGTTCTGGTTCCAAGTCCTCAGCTCTAGGCAGAGAGCATTACCCCTCCGGATGAATTAGTAAATTTTAACTATAAAGAAAGGAAGAGGCTTAATATGTCCAGGCACAATTAAAAGTCTGAACTTGAAAAAGATGCTGATTCGAATCCCTACAAATATAGATATTTTTTAGATAGAAAATAGATATACAATGGTGCACAAGAGAAAGTAATGAAAATGAAGGCAGAATTCAAAGAATTTTCTATGAATATTGAATTCTTGGATTTGAAAGGTATGAACATGTACAGAATATGCCACCAACCTGTATTGCTAAATTCTCAAAAGCTGTTTCTATCAGATTTTTGACTAAGTCCAGACTTTTCTGCTTGTGATCAGGCATTGCAACTGGCACATGAGATTATTAGCAGCACATATGTTTGATAAAGGACAGTTGTTGCAATGACTATACAGTATATTTAGCTCTATACTTTCTTTAGTTTTCCGTTAGTATGGTTTGTTTTAAATCTTGACCAGAGCAAATCCAGATAGCATGTATTAAGACTGTCTACATTAGGGATGACACAAATAGTATATTGGTATCTGAGGATTCTTTCTCCTCCTCCCCCCTTCTCCCATGAAAACCATGCAAATTGCATAATGCTGAAAGGGTGTAACTGAACAGTTCTAGAGACAGGAGTTGTCTTATTTAGGTATAATACAAGCAGCAGCGATAACCTTACTTAGCAGCGGCCACCTTTAGGGGTGGGGAAAGTAGTACTGTTTATATGGCCCATGTATATATGGCCCTACTGTAGGGCTCAGTGATGTGGGCACCGAACAGACTCTTTTCTGACTGTAAGAGCAAAGACTCCAATCAGTAGCACATATTAGGCTGTGCATGTTTGCATATGCAGGACTAAGTCTCATTACAAGACCAAATCCTACTCTCACTCAAGTCTGAGTATTGCCATTGATGTTCAATGGCAGCAGAATCTGGCCCTAAATCAGCCCCTGCAAACAAGATCTCCATAGATCTTGTTTTCCAGTCATTAAACAAAAGCCAGTCTGTGTGTTTCTTTAGTCTTCAACACACAGGTGTTCTTCCAGAATGGCTAGGCATGATCACTAATGTGCCCACATAATGATAGCACCCAAGCTTATTAGGCCCAACTTACTGTTTTATGTCATCCCCACTGCATACTGGCCACATTTCCAGGTCACCCTTTGTGAGCAAGGTTAGCTGTATTAATAGTCAGTATCCAAACAATTTGGTTTTGCTCACTCTGTATTCCTTAAGTTGTCCCTGGATGGTATCCGGGTATACTCTGCTCCATTGGAGACTGACTGCTGTGCTGTTTATAACTTTTAGCCTAATATCAGTGGGGGCAGCCTTGGGATCTAAGCGTTCAGGAATAAAGCAAAGTGTAGATTAGGCACACATTGGGTTGGTGGTTTTTAATTCCAACAGTAGTCTACACCCCCTTTCTTTCTGAAGTTTACCTCCTGCAATTCCTGCTAGGCAGGTTTTTAAGGCATTTTGTTTTTCATTCTAGAGTCATCTTGGGGTAAATATAATCAGACTTGCAAAAGCCCCTGCTGCCACCTTGTGGCATTCAGGAGCAGTTCTGCCTATGTTAGAATATTTGCAGGAAGACAGGATCTCATTTGTGCAGTTATCCCAACAAAAAGTCACAATCTTGTCACACTTCAAGGATTTCCACATCTGATGCAACAAAACAGCAGAAGCCGGTCAATTCTAGAGTTCTTGCTTAAACTACTTAGTTACTTAAGAGATGAATGTGTGTCCCACTGCCATGCAGTAAATATACCCAGATAATGAAATTGGAGAAGCAATATACAGATTTACCTCCCTAACACCTTTCATCTGAAGATCTCAAAGTATTTTCCTACACTAGCAGGGAGCTGTGAAGTATTACATATCCAAGGCACAGAGGTCAAAATCCACTTCAGGTGTGTACCCTTCTCTCCTCTCCTCCTCGTGTGCCCCACCCCCCACACAGTCAGTGGCAGAGTTGGGAATCCAGTCCAAGAATCTCTGTTCGGAGACCTTTGCTCTAACCATTAGTCAGTACAGCCAACTTTCTAAAGAGAATGGTTTAAAAATGTTTCCCATTATATGCTAGTATTCTTTTTGGCTGTGCCAGATAAAGGAATTACTTCCTTGTTTAACAAGATCTTGCTAATTTTAGGAATCTTAGATTTTGAAAAGGGCAATAGCTCATGTTCAACCATGGGCCAGATTCTCAGCTGGTGTGACTTGGCATTGCTTCACTGAAGCCAGTGAAGCTCTTCAGATTTACACACCAGCTGAGGAGCTGATCCAGTGTGTCCACAATCCACCAAGACTCTGCTGTTTGGAAGCAACAACACTGGGTCAGTGCAAGGCAGAGTATCCAGCTGTCATGCAACATGTTGACCATTTAACAATTCCCCCAGTAAACACTGATGCAGCCACACTTCTCCACACAGGTTGTTTGCATGTTTTTAAACTGGCTAGCCCTCTCCCCTCTTAGTTTTAAAGGATCCCAGCTGTCTTTGTGCCTTGAATGCAGCTACTGTGCTAGCATGGCTTGGAAGCATGCCTGTCTAAGTTGCGTGCTCTAGGATGGCTCGGAAGCTAACAGAGTGAGGTGCAAGGTGACTTACATGAGAGAGCAGGTGCAAATGAGTCTGAGTCCAGCTTACCCAAAGTTGGATCCCAACAGGCCAGCTCCTCCGCTGGTGTCAACTGGAACTCCAGTGAAGTCTCTAAAGCTATGCTGGTTCACACCAGCAGATGATCTGGCACAGTGTCCTTAAGTGATCGTCCTCTTCCAGATCTAGACTAATCTGGTTCTCCTGAGACTTTCTGATCAGGAAGGTTCTGAATCTAGGGGATACTTGGGTTGCTCCTGGCGGTGCCTCTCCAGGAGGGAACAATGTGTTACAATCTGTCAGCCACTCATGGTGTTGCTGTGCGATCACTCCTGATCCATTTAACAGCAGCACTTCCCTCAGGCCTCTGCAATGGATCAGCTACTTTGAGAAGCAAGCATGCAATTGGTTGCCCCTCTCTGCTTCCATTACAGGTTAGGACTGACTGGGTCAGTCTGCCACAAACTTAGCAGTCTGCTGCAGCACTCGCTTTATGGACTTCCTCTGACCTGATGGGGAGGAACCCTGTGCCTGGGTGGGAGGAGTCAGGCCTGGCTCACCCCACCCACAGGAAGTATAAAAGGTAGAGCCTCCAGCTCAGTTGGAGCTGAGCCTGGGAAGGAGACAGACTTATCTTGCTTGCTGCTAGGCCTCTAACTTCACTGCTGACCCTGAGGAGATGCTGGCTATCTACCCCAGAGAGACAGGACACCCAAGGAGCTGAGGTACCAAACAAAGGGGTAGTTGGAAGTAGCCCATAGAGACTAGATTGGTTTTGGGTTGGGTTTGCCTGAATCCAGGCCAGCATGTTTCAGGCAGATCTCCGCTGACCCAGTGGTGGATGCTCGACCACTGTTAGGTCCTTGGGCTGGGACCTGGTGGAGTAGGATGGGCCTGGGCTCCCTGCTGCCAACCCCAAGGTGGCAACCTCCCCACGGTAGGCCAAGAGGTAAGCCCCTAGACTGTTGGGTGCTCCTCCCTGCCAAGAGGGTCAGGGGCTAGCCCCTGATTCACTAATTCCCCCTGATATGAGGCAGTGATCCAGCCTAACTAGGACCCAGAGGGGGAGGGATGACCACCACTACATTACACAACAGCAGAACAACCCTTTGCTTTCACAGCCAATCATCTAGATTTACATGGTAATGAAGAATGGTGCAGAAGATCTTTGTTCACTCAGTACAGACTAGCTTTCTAATGGGGAAATGCACTTGCTTTGGTTTCACTGTAGCTTGTATAAGAACTTCTGATCTCTGCTGGAATACTCATTTAAAACTACTGCACCCACCCATTGGAGAATCTCAATGGACATCCCTAGCAAAAGTGATTGGTGGTGAGATTCAGAAAGGATGGAGCACACCGATCCTCTGAATCCCCTTCTCTTAAAGGTGTCATGTGAGGCACCCCCCATCACTAGTCACCGCTGAAAATTATTGGAGGAAGAAAGCTTGTAATTAGGGCTAGATGCAGGAGTCACTAGGCAAGTTTCCATGGCTTCCTTTATGCCAGATGTCAAACTAAAAAGGATCATTATAGTCATCTAGCCTTAATCTAACGTTATGTATTTAATGTGCAAGAGTTAGCCATTTACAAAAAACATACTATATCTTGTGGCAGAAACTGCTCCCCAAAACAACCAGTTTATGGGGGAAAGGGAAAACTGGGCAATAAGACATAACTTGCAGTAAAGCCATCCTAACAAAGCAAGAGCCAAGTTTAGTTTGCCAGAAAAACTATTAGACTTTTGCAATAGGAATTAAGTTATCTGAAGCTTTAGACAAGATAGTCTGGTGATTTCAGGACCAAGGACAGAGCAGCCCCTTAAAGGCCAATGGGATTTTTTTTCCCTCTCTAGAAACATTTTTCACTAGTGCACTTTGCAGTAGGAGAGGAAATGGAAAATGTGTGAATGTCTAAGGTAAGCAGAGGCCTATCCCAGGGAGGGAGTGGTATGGTCCCTTGGAGGTTTGAATTGGTTGAAGATACCACCAAACAACCATGCTGAGACTGATTTGCTTCTAGCAGTGGGTGAAGTGCCTGAGGATCTAGCTTGCACAGCTCTAATATTGATTGGCACTGCAGCATGTCAGAGTCAAAAAGCCTGTGGAACAAGGTGGACATGTAACATTATAAATGGTACTTAGCACAAGTTAGTTGGGTCAGAGGAAACTCTTCTGCATCACCATTTAATTATACACAGCAGAAGAATCTGCTCTTTCTAGTGTGCTCACCCAGGGAGTGAAGCAAACAAACGCTGATGGCCTCTAATGGATGCTGGGTATACAGTGCATACCCTGCAATGGCTGAGCTGTACAAAAGTCTTTCCGCAGCATGGCCACAAAACCCAACATTTGATTGGCTACTGTTAAAGCAGCCCCAGTTATGTGCCTGAGAAGCCTTTGAAAAAGCTAAGGCCACACTAGCCCATTACGATGTTGCTCAGCTTATACATGTATTAACCCCCAAGAATGTTCAGGCTGTTTGGTTTTTTGTCTCATCCTAGGTCAAAAGCAGATGTTGGCCACTCTGAATCACACACAAGAACAATAAGCTGAAGGTAAAGATACTGTTACCAGGGGAGGGCTTGGGAGTGAAGTAAAAGCACTCCTAAGGTTAGCATCTTTAGAGAGAAACTATTGGAACAAACCTATCCAGTAGTTTAGCCCATTGCATTCACCAAGGGCATGTGCAGGATCTAGTGTCCATACTTAGATTGTTTCCCATCTTTTTATAATTATCCCAGTCATTTAGGGAGCTAAATAATGAGATCTAGTTTCAAAGAACTGAACTCTCCAAGACCAAATCTCACTTTAGTTTAGCTCCAGCAAGACACACATTCAGGTGTATTTGAGTCCCTGCAGAACCCAAATCAGTCCCCAATATCTACTTTAAACTGAGAGAAATACCTTAAGGCACAAAGCTGGCACCTGTGCAGCATCACAGTGGTGTGGTGTGTAAGGCAATCTAAGCTGTATTCTTTAAGTTCCTTACCTATCCCTGGCTCTGCCTCTTGCTTGTGGCTAAGAGCAGGGGATGTTAGGATTGAGTTTATTTTTCCCCTTTGTAGTAGTACTGCCCATACTTTGTGCTCTGAGCTCAGCCAGTCAGGGGGAGGTGGTCCTTGTGCTATTCCAGGTACCTATTGTGGAACTCCTTAGCCCATAGCCCCAACAACAATCCTAGCAAGAGTTCAAGGCAAGACTCCCCATCCTGTGGTGCAATAGAGTTGGAACTAAAATACTTTCTCTTTAAAAATGTTACAGTTCAGAGCACCCATCTGTTGCAGGCAGTGAAACCAGTAGGAGATAAACATGCAAGTAGCTATAATGGTAAATTTTAATTATCTAAAGCCATGGCACAGCAATCTAATCCATGATTTCCCTCTGACCAGCATGCAAGATTATGACCTAATTAATCTACACTTCCCTCAGAGCAGAGGGAGGAGTTACCTGCAGCTCAGGTAGGCACCCATACTAGCTCTAATCTTGCTTGTGTGGCTAAATACAGATGTGGCATCACAGGTTCTCTCAGAACCCTGGGTAATGCCTACCAGAGTTGCAATCACACCTCTAAGTTCAACAACTACTTTGCCCAGCTGTACCTTTCATCCAAGGGCCAAAATACCCAAACTCAAACCTCCTTGCCCACATCACTCTCAGAAGTGATGTCGTCCAGTTTGCACAAATGGAGGCTAAGTAATTTGGCTTGGGGCTCCACAGGGATTTTGGTGACAGCAAGGAATGGAACCTGAAGAGTTGTCTTCTCCTCCTCAAATCACCTGGAACTGGATTGCTGTGACACACCAAGCATGGCTCTGAGGGTGTCCACCCTGAGCTGCAATGTAGCTTTTCCATCTCCAGTAGGTGAGGAAATCTTGGCTAACTTTCACTTTTCTTTTCCCCTCCCCTACGGTAACACTTAATAGCTCTGGCTAGGAAAATACTCACAATCTTCCCCTGAGTAGCCGATGATGACGTCAGGCTCTGGAGCTCTCCCGAAGTCGTTCTCTGCCTGCACTTTGATCTCATAGGGCACATAGATGGGTGTATTCCAGACAACATGCCTTGTGGTTCTCACTGTCTCGTTGCTCCAGCTGTCCCGCGTATCCCTTTGCCTCCAGTTGACTATGTACCTGAGGTTGGGCCCATAAGCTTGGGTTGCGTTCAGCGGCTTAATGGATGAAAAGATAAGTAAGGTATTTACACTGCACAATACAGGCATGAACAAAAAGCTGCAATTTATCCCTCCCCCACACCAGACTTTGGCTTAATTCCTGGTGACCGCTGTGTAGGTCCAGGCAGGATGTACATCTGCTTCAGGAACGAAAGTCTGTTTATAATTATCCTCCTCTCAAGCTTCCTTCAAGAAGCAAGCCACAGAGTAATTCTTTATGTAGCCTGGAAAATTTAGGAGTGACACTTTGCCTTCAATTATTCTTTAGGCAAGAGAGGTTATACCTGATTCTCAAGGAACTGCCCCTAACCACTTTTCTTTTGCTTCCATTCCTGTGAACAGATCTTGGAGACCAACCTCCTCCCTAATGCAACACCTGAGTACACTGTATGAGCAGGCTTCTGCAGGAAGACTGAAGACATCGCTGTCTATCACTTGCACCTCCAAGGAGCGAGTCAACAATGGTGTTAGAGTACTGTCACTGAACTGAGAAACAAAATGCTCATGCTTGTGTAACCTTCACCTTAGACTCGTGTCTTAAATGAGTAAGCTCTTTGGAATGTGTCTTTCTGGGTGCTATTAAAACAATCAATCAAAATTGCATGGGAATTGATGTATTCCGGCAGCTACCTAGAATGTAAAGGGAAGAGCGATTTAAATATACTCACCTTAAGAAGGCTGATGCACTGAGAGAAATCTTAGTATATGTGACACTTCCTCAGTCTAACTTTTCTGAATGGTAATAGCCCTTGGTGGTTAAGGGGAAAGAATAAGCAGGATCATCTTGACTCAAGAGTAGCCAGCAGTTGAAAGTTTTATCTAAGCCCATTGAAATAAAATGTCATCCAGCTCTAAATAAATACTCTGGCACCCAAAAAATTAAACTCACAGTCCAAGTTATCTCCATGTTGTTTTTTTGAGTCCCTGCTCCTCGAACTCCTGTTGGGTTGATTTCTGGACCTGAAATCCACATAAAAATCTTGTCTTACAATGTTGAAAATGTAGGCATTTAAAAAGCCCTGCACAGAGTAAACTGGTTATTAATACACAATGAGTGGCCTAATTTGCCTGAATTGGCTTCCAAATATCTAGTCCTATATGTTTAGAAGGTGCCTTCTGTGTTAAGTAAATCTGAACAAGAATAATCAATACATCCCTCAGCTTTTGATTAACAGATGTCAATTGAAAATGAGTAGGCCCTAAGCAGCCAAAAACCCAGAGATTTAGGTTCATAAGCGCCTTGTGCTAAACACACAGAGGGCATTCAAAAATGAGCTATACTGCATTGCATTGCACACCCAGCCTGTTCTGGGATCTTTGCCAAAACTTGAATAGTGGAGGGAGTTAGCAGTTTTGGGAGCATGCCTCCCTCCTCTGAGCTCAGCTGGCTAGCCCATGATGCAGAGTCCACACTACTTATTTAAGTGTGCTCATCTACAGGGGCTGGGGGGAGCCACTGCCAGCTGCAGTGTAAACAGGCCTAGTGTCAAACTTTCAAAGAAGCTTCCTGCAGGAGGAGGGGATGAAGGATTTTCCTCCTTTCTGCAGTTGCAGCATCATGGAAAGATTGATTTGTTTTGAGGAATACCCCCCTCTAAGCAGCTTACACTGGAAAAATTACCCACCTTAGCTCTTTCAACTTGAATTTTGCTACTGTGCACAGGGCTTAACCAAATACATCATTCATCCCAACCCGTTAGTACATGGATTAAGTTCTGCTCCCAGTCATATTATTCTGGCTTTACAGTACTGTAGCCAAGAGCAGTATCTAGCCCTGTGAGTTCAACACCCATGGAAAATGGGCTTGTAAAAGAAACTCACCTAGTGTCTGATTTCTGACATGACAGCTGAAAGCCATTCAGAGAGCAAAGCAGTACATGGCTGATTGGCAGCAAAACCACAACAGTGAGTTAAATGGAACTTGACTCCAAGTACTTACTTGCCCCAATAGTATGGTATCGTTCAGAAGGAAGGCTGGGCAGGCTGCTCCCAACTTCATTCACAGCGATCACTCGGAACTGGTAGTTGACATAGGGTGAGAGGCGCAGAACAGCTGAGTTAACGCTCCCTGGATAACGGGAATGGTTATGCCACGACCCAGGCTGGAACTTGTCCTCTTCAAACTGAACCACATAATCTAGACAGGAGAGAGATGGTAGGTCAGGTTAATGGCAGGGTTTCTCCCAACTCCCAGAGAAAGAGAGACTTTTGTCAACAAAAACAATAGCTTGACAAATACAGCCTGGTCTGGTGTTAGAGGGGAGGGGTGAGCACCAACCTGTGATTGGGCTGTTATTGTCATCACCAGGTATCCATGTCAAGCGCACACTCCTTTCCGCCAGGTCTGTCAGCTCCAGGTCACGAGGCCGCTCAGGTCGTTCTATTGGCAAAGTAACAACCAAAGTTTGGCTCCTTTGGCAATCCCACTGAAAGTCAATGAGAACTGAACACCTAATGCCTTGGGTGCCTTTGAGAGTTCTGCCTAACTCTCAAAGGCAGCAGTGAGAAAGTCATTGGCAGCAGCTGCATGTGACAGGAGTTGTTTCCATTCAGTTCTTAGCAGAGAAGTGTGTTTTCTTAATCTGAAAAAATATAGTGCCCTTCAGCAGGGCTCTTTGTGGGAGTGCAGTTGGCCTTTCCAGGATATATTGGTGGGGCTAGCAATGCCCAAGAATGTAGTGTATGAAGATTAAAAAAACCCTCTACATTCAAATGTAGAAAGAGGTGTGCATACATAGAACAAAGGCATCAAACCTAAGGAAAAACATGGTGGGTTATATACTGTATGGATAGTGAATTGACAAAAAGACAAGGAAATCAAACCACATTTGTTCTTGTAGAGCAAGGTCATAAGACTCTACACTCTTGGGTCACCTTCCTTTTAGAGGGAGAGTCATTAATTAAGAGAAGCCATGCAAGAAACTAACTATTTTCACCCCCATTTTACTGATAGGGAGAGTGAGGCAGTGACTTGGCCAATGTCCCAGAAGATCAGTGGCAGAACCAGGTTTCCTAACTCCCCATTCAGGGACTTACTACAGGCAAGGTAGCGGTGGCAGAGTGGGTGAGTGATACTATTCTTGTGCTATACCATACTGCACCTTGACATCCAGACAACCATTACAAAAATACCACAGCAGCTTTCTGCTCATGGTTAGTTGTGACAACCCTTAGAAATAACATGCCGTAGCAGGCTTTGGAGCGTCTTTTCAACCCCTCCAGCCCTACATTTCCCATTAGAGTTATTGCAAAGGCCAAACAAAACAAAGCATATACAAATAAAAGGGTTTCAATAAACCAAACTGATTAGTGGTGATTACCTTTGGGTAAGGCTGTCATACGATTAGTTGGAGCAGACACGACAGCTGCAAGGTAAGACATTGGCTGTTAACGGAGTTAGTTTACTGATTAAACTTGGCTCATCAAAGGGGCATGTAGTAAAAACAAGTTAGAGGTGGATTCCATTTCCCCCAGTGTGGGATCCAGTGAGCATCAGTACTTGTAGCCCGCCCCCTAGAGACTCAGAGGGGCTCCCATAACCTCTAATCCATTTTGTGCTGGCTGCACATGGGAGAAACAAACGAGTTAATTAGCTTAAGCACAATTATCTGTTAAAAAAAATGGAAAAATCAAATTTAGCTGAGTGATTAGGGATGTAGGATCCTTATGGCATGCTGAGTGAGCCAGCAATACATTCAACATTGATTTAAACAGGCGCAGGCTCTTCAAGAGGTTTCTGGTAGTTGAGAACTAAGGGTAGATGAGCCTCAACATGGAGTTCAAAGTTTGAGAGTAGGTCTAACGGCCACAAACCCAATCCCAGTCTATAAAACCCATTTCCCCTGTACTTTAAATCCATTCCTCCCCCTGCCAAAAAGGGAGCTTCATTACCACTTCCACCTGGAGCAAAGCCTGTAGGACTAGGGCATGTTTCCTCTTTCTCCCACTATAGCTTAGCATCTAAATAAGGGGCCTAATTTTCAAAGGTCATGAGCAGCTTGAATTCCTGTTGACTTCAATTGGAATTGCAGATGTCTAACTCCACTGAAGAGCAGACCTCTTATTTGGATGCCTAACCTTACGCACCCATGTTTGAGAATTTTTGGCTCCATATAGGAATTGATTTCTTTCCCCCTCAGCTCCTTTCAACTCAGTCTCTCTGTACTTGATTTCCACATGGCTTATTTCTCCTTATGTATTCTGTCTTTTCCTCTCTGCCCCTTTATTTTCAGTATCTGCTGAATTGGAAGGTTCAATTGCAACATTAGAGCAGGTTTGAAATGAGGCTGCATGCATTCACTAAGTCCCATTAAGACACTGGTGGAGAAGCTAACCATTTTTACTACACTACTTTGCTTAAGAAGCTCACAGCAAACCTACGTAAAACCACTGATAGCTATGGCAATAAGGGCTTGTCCTACAAACGTATTAGACTACATTAAATGTTAAACATTTTTTAAATTTCACTGTGTCTGATCATGCATTACCCAAGTTTGGCTGTGAGAACTTGACATGAATAATCAGTCTGTACTAACAAACCAATGCCTTTAGTTCTATTACTTTGCTTTCTATGAGGCTCCAATCTCTGGGTTAGTAGTAAATTCAAGTGGAAGAATGGTTACCTAGCACGGTGAGGAATGCTTTGGCGGAGTCTTTGTCCAGTTCAGTACTGGCTACACATGTATAATCTCCTTGATCTTTTTCAGCCACACCATAGATTATCAAACCGTCATCTTCCTTCTTCATCCTTGAAAGGATACAATTGATAACAAAAACACACAGTGTTAGGTGTTGAAGGATTTTGTCCTAACCTATGTGAAAAGTCCCATTGGATTCCATAGGACTATTTGCATGAGTAAGTCTAGCTGGGTTTGACTCATGTTTTACATTCATCAGAACAGGGATGTACTTTTCATTCTGTTTGTTGTTTTTTGTATATTTTGTCCAGGGCAAATGCATAATCTGTCTATCCAGGTATTCAGACTGAACTTATTCCCATGGCATCAGAGTCTCTACAGTGCTGTACAGCTATACATTACTAAGCAGATGCAATAATCCTAGCAGGCCAGGAGATGGAATCAGATTCTTCTATGGGAACAAATTTCTGACCAGGGAACAGTTTGAGTCCCATGATCAAAAGCTCATTTCCTTTTCTCCAGATGGGAGACAGAGATTGGGAAAGGGGAACTGCAATTGTACTGGCACAGTAGATCAAAGCAGACAAGTATTAATTCTGAAATAGTTTGTAGTTATTAAACCAAGATACTTTATTGAGATTCTTAAAAAACAAACACTGATTTCCATCTTTTTGATATTTTTATATAAATGAAACCTGAGATCAAAAAGTCTCGCGTAACTATCAAATCAATTCCAAATTGCTAGTCACTTTCTATTTGAAGGAGCTAACACCACAGAAATGTAGCACCACTCAGTGTCGAATCATAGGGACACTGGGTATTCTATGCATACTCTCCCCCTCCGGGTTGAATGTGAGAAATGCTGTCTGGGCTGTGAAACCAGACCAATTGTTTACACACACTGGCTCTTGAAATGAGCATCCTATAAAGACAGAGCGAAGAGTAATACTATCTTAGGAGACAGAAGGAGCGTGTAACTACAGATATACAGTCATATGCCAGTGCACAGACCTGTTTCCAATGTACAGAGGTGTATCATCTTTCAGCCAGGCGACTGTGAGTTTCAGCGTAGAGTCATGTTTTATACGGCAGTCTAATCGAACCATGGAGCCCCTCTTTACAATCAGATCTTCTGGCCCTCTCACGATCCTAGTTGGGTCTGCAAAGAATCACAAGATGTCACTTGTAGGCATATAACAGTAGGGTCTATAGCTCGGTACCCAGACCAAAGGGGAGATGGAGTGTGACTTGTAAAAGTCAGGCATATGTGGACGTGTGCCAAATGCCACAAGCCATCCAGCTGGCCACACTCTGCATTACTTACAAGTACCTGCTTATAAGCTGGGTAATTTAGTATCACTCTATCTATCTTACACTCAGCAACGCACCTTCCCTTTAATACAAACGGACATGATCTAAAACAGGATTTTTGAGTCAAAGGGCATTTCACTAGGAAAGCGAAGCCACAACAGAAACTGTTCGCTTTACTCAAACGTTTCATTGCTGCTTGAACTGTGACCTTGCTCGACTGCTGCGCATCTTTTGTGTGTTTCAATGTGCCTGGTATTTATCTCATGCTCTAGGCAGCTCATCATGTTTAAAAAACAAAATAAAGTCCTCAGACAGTCATTCAGATCTTCAAGTATCCAACCACATAATTCTGATATTAAACTACAAAAACAAAGCTAAACTACGCCATACTCCAGCTCTTAAGATCTGCCTCTTTGCCTATAGGCTATGAAAGTGTGTAACAAAAAATTGGTAAAGGAAAAATAAATCCTTTATGCTGTGATTTTCAATGGAGCCCAAGAGAGTTAGGCACCAGCCACCACTGAATTCTTTTAGGCTTCTTTGAAAATCAGTCTTGCATATAATGGAAACTAAATGTGTTGGGATCCCAGTTTTGTGGGTATGTTTGTGCTTGATGCACAGCACGAGAATTAACCAGCTAACTACCCAACTTGTGGGTGTAAACTGATGCCCATGGAAAATTGTGGATGCTTGTGAGAAGGTGGGCCTGTACGTGCAACACTTTGACAGCACTGTCTCTTACCTTTGATCTCCAAACGAACCTGGTTCTCTGCTTTACCCAGAATGTTGGTGGCGACGCAGGTGTAGATTCCCTGGTCCTCCTTCCGAGCCATGTTTATTTCCAAGCTCCCATTTTCATGCCTCTGGTAGTTCTCTCCATCCAGGGCGCTTCCCTGACCATTCTTAAACCTCATAACAATACAAGAAACTATTGTAAGAGGAAGCAGCAGCAGGAAGTGGCTCATTCCAAAGCCCATTGCAATCAGCAGTTCTGAGTGTTGGAATCCTTACCAGCGCAAAGTGGGGATCGGGGAGCCAAAGAATGGGCAGTCAAGGAGGGTCCTGTTATACTGAATCACTTTGATCAGCTGGTTCCGTGGGGCAAGAATCCGGGGAGGCACATCTTAAACAACAAAGAGCATCCCACCCATTGTTTCATGTTCTCTGTGTATATAAAATCTCCCCACTGTATTTTCCACTACATGCATCCGATGAAGTGAGCTGTAGCTCACGAAAGCTTATGCTCAAATAAATATGTTAGTCTCTAAGGTGCCACAGGTACTCCTTTTCTTTTTGCAGATACAGACTAACACGGCTGCTACTCTGAAACCTGTCAAAAGAGCATTTTGTGTCTTTAAAATCCCATGTGCTGTAACCACACCATCTCCCCATCTCTCCTCTCTAGTCACAGGACTCCCTCTTTTTCTTGCACCTCAAGTTCAAGTTCCTTCTTCAAGGCTTTGCAAAGCTCCCACATTTCCTCCTATCCCGTCCCTTCACTTTTACCCTTCCACTGCTCTCTCTGTCTCTTACTACCTTCTATTTATGGCCTTCCTGCCAACACCAGCCCTGATGCTTGGCGGTCCTGCCACCAGCATCCTTAACAATCTTAACCCACTACAGTTGCTATCTATCATGACTTAAATTAGCCAGAGATTTTGGGAATGTTGTTCTATGGGAGATGGTGATTTCACCCATGAATTCAGAGATTACTGTTTTCTTATGAACACCTCTAGGCTGGGAAGTTAAAGAACTCCTGTGTTCACTGTAAAGACCTTCCCAATCCACCTCTGTAACACAGATATCAGCAGACCATCTGTAGCATTAGATAGTTACCCAGAACACTGACGAAGGCATTAGCCAGAAGGTAGCCATGTTCGTTGGAAGCATTACATTGGTACACGGCACTGCTGCCAATCTGGGTATCCCGAAATACAATGGTGTCTCCGGCCACTTCCCGACTTGGGTTGGGAGGAGCAGCTTCAGAACAAACAGAAGGAGGAAGAGAGAGCTCTTCAGTTTGCTATTAAACTTTACTTGGGTGGAAGGCTCCAAATCCCATTAACCACCCCCCGAGACATCCAACCCCCTGACCCCGCTTACAATTGGTTATCCTACTGAACATACCCAACAGAGCAAGCTGAGGATGGAGTAAAGCTTTTCAGAGTGCCAGCATGGGAGTCTGTGAAGTCCTCAGGTCATATGCAGACCAAGATCATTAGGGGCTATGCCCGGTGTCTGGCATGGCCTGTGGCCAATAGTGCTCATGTTCAGACACTGGCCCCTAGGGCACAGTGTGACTCTTTAACCCCAGCACAAAGCAGGGTGGTAATGCCTGAGAAATGCTGAGTTCATTATTTTGAGGAGGATTTATAGAGTCAATTTCAGTCTCAACCTGCTCCTCTCTGCCATCCACTCTATAGTGAGTGATTAGTGAGCAGGGGGAATGTAAATTATTATTTAAGGTAATCATATGGGCCATAGTTTAGGGTCTTTTATGTGGCCTAGACCTTATTTATATGACAGATGAGACGGTTACTCACCTTGTGCAGTAACTGAAGTTCTTCAAGATGCTTGTCCCTCTGGGTGCTCCACTATCCTCCCTCCTCCTCTCTACTTCAGAGGTTCACGCCGATTCTCTGGGGTAGAGAAGGAACTTGGGGATGGTTGGCTGCGCACCGCTATGTAACCACTCAGAGCAGCGTGAGACAGCTATGGCGCACACGCGGCCCAGTTGAGCACTGCTACTACAAATCTCCGATTACAAGAGCAGGGCGCCAAGACACCTTAAGTGGAGTACCCACAGGGACACTTCTTGAAGAATTATCAGTTAGCTTTTAAAAGACAGATGACCTTTCTCTCTAGTTTATCTGAAGTGACCAAAAGAGTTTAGCAGGATTAGTTTCAGGTCATTTTCGGTTTCTTTTTAGAAGGATCTTGTTGAAATGTGATTGCTCCATAATTCATAACCATGCATCTAAAGCCAATGAGCATTACAGAAGGATTCTGATGCAGAAGCAATGTTACATTAAGTTAGGCATTGATAATATTCTTCAATGATTCCATGACAAATTACTTTTAGTGAGGGAAATCAATAAAAATCCATTGTTTTAGGAACTAATCCTAAAATAGCAAGCGCTAGACATTACGTAACACACACAGATATCCAGTCATTTAGTTGCCTGAACTCTGTCACACCTATACACACTTAACTTTAAATTAAGACTCCTCTGTTCAACACAAATATTGGATTTTTCCTTGTTATTCTTGGTCTGTCCAGTCCAATGTTAATTTCATTCTAATCCTCATTGTAGTTTTCATCTCCTCATTAATGGAGGGGAGTGTATCTTGATGGGACTGAAGGATAACAAGAGAGCTACCGGCATGATAGACACCTGCCTGCACTCTTCTTGGCTCTGACCATTGCTACTGGTAATTTTTAAGTGCACCAAAAACTTTTTTTTTTTTTTTTGTTTTAAAGTGACCTTTGGTGTCACAGTTGTAACACTATCATAACTAGATCTTCCACTCATGGAAAGGATGATGAAAGACACCATGAGGAAGGCACATGCGCTTGAAACATCTCAAATAACTACGATCTTGAAAACACCCTTAGCATGACTCATGCTTATTATTTTTCCACCCTGAAAAGAGGAGCAATTTATATGAAATTCCTCATGTTTTGGTGCATGCTTCTATAATGAATATAATTCAGTCCCTGCTAGGGAGCCCCAAAGCCATCAGCTTGCTTACATTCTATGGGCTCTCCATTCACCAACCACTGGATTGTAGGCTTCGGGTTCCCGTTGGCTCGACACACGAGTCTACCATCTTCACCAGGGGCCAAAATAAGGTTTTGTGGTTCGTCCAACCAGTAAGGGGCCGCTTTAAAGACAGGAATGTGTATATAGACAAGTTATACATGCATTGTGGTTACCTCCGCTGAATTCCTCTCCATTATTTAGTTGTTGAAGCTGACACCACAGAAAGAGTTCCCCACCACATGCCACATGTAGGAAATGGGCCCTTCCCCAATGCGGAAGTGATGTCGCTGTAAGTCAAGTCCTCTATTTTAGCCACTAGAAAACAGATGTGCATTGGCTATGCTGAGTATTGAAGAGTAAAATCTCTACAGTCGACCTTTGCCTAATGTTCCTAGCCAATCCCAACCCTGGAGTGGCAGCCTCCCGACCTGAGGCCCAGAGGCCTACGTTTGTCTGCCAGAACAAGGATGTCAGACTTCCCTGAGCCCCTAGACTGTTTGCGGGCTCTGCCCTGCCTGACAGCCTGAGCCTATAAACACTTGGTTGCTCTGCCCTGCCTGAGGCCAGAGCCCTGGACTACCAGCCACTTGGCCCAGCCTAGAGGGCCAGGGCCTCAGAGGCTGCTAATCTCCCAACAATCTTGGCCTAGGGAGAGACCTGAGCATGAGGGGGGCATGGCCTCCCTCTGAGATGGATGGGGCGGGATGACCATGCACTCCTACGTGAGCTAAAAAAACAGCAAAAGAATTTTTTTCTACTGCATGATGTAAATTAATGTAGCTCTATTTAAAAAAAATATCCACTGAGCTATGCTGATTTTCACCAGCTGAGGACCTGGATCAGGAGATCAGTCTGGTTGAGATGCAAATGTGTGTGGGTATAGGCAAACATCCATCTCAGTTCCGCAAAGCACAGATTATCCCATTAGCATAGGTCTGAACAAACAAGAACAGCCCCCCTCACCCTCCCCATGGCTCTGGAATTCTAACGGCTCAAGTAATTTGAATGGTAGGATAAAAAATGACATACCCTTCACTCTCACTGAAATAGTGTGGCGGATGCTGCCCATTTTGTTGGACGCTAAGCAGAAGTATTCCCCAGAGTCTTCCTCAGAGACGTTGGTGATGCGAAGGGCCTTGTTAAAATTTTCCAACTTGGTTTTGTCCGTTGGGAGCTCTCCTCCTTTCTTGTACCACATGATATCTGGTGCTGGTCTAAGGAGGGGAGGACAGATTAGGGGTCATATCTGAGAGGAGGCTCGTCAAGACATGTACTGTACAGGAAACAAACAGATTTGGGGTCAGGAAGGAATTTTCCTCCAGGGCAGATTCAAAGAGGCCCTGGAGGTTTTTCGCCTTCCTCTGTAGCATGAGGCATGGGTCACGGGTCACTTGCTGGAGGATTCTCTGCTCCTTGATGTCTTTAAACCATGATTTGAGGACTTCAATAGCTCAGACATAGGTGAGAGGTTTTTCGCAGGAGTGGGCGGGTGGGTGAGATTCTGTGGCCCGCGTTGTGCAGGAGGTCAGACTAGATGATCATAATGGTCCCTTTTGACCTTAATATCTATGAATCTATGAGATTCCTCCAAATTCAGAACCACTTAAACCAGTCCCCTTAGATTTCATCCTCCCAATGGTTTCCACAGATGACTCACTCTCCTTCCCTCCTGACTTACACCAGGATCTTGATCAAGGATCCTGACCTTCACTAACACCACTAGGAATGAATTTCTGACTCATGGATACTACTCAATCTCTTCTGCATAGTTTTAGCTGGTGCACACTCCTGTAGCCAGACCTGGCCAGTTGGGCATTCACAAGGACTACAGTGGGGCCTGTTTCCCTATATTTGGTAGGACACTGTTTCATGTGTCACTACATCCCCAAAGTGGACAAATAAAAGGAAATTGATCTAACACAGAGAAAACAGAAACATAGTGTCACCCGCTTCCACTTTTGTGATGCATCTTTCCACCTCTTGCCCATAGGACATTTGCAGTTACCTGTCCTTCCATTGGGGAGCAAGACACCGTGGACTGGATCCTACTTTCACTGAAGTGAATAGCAAAAGTGGAGCATCAGGGACTGTACAGTTTGCTTACTACCCAGAGCAGAACAGATAAGGAGATGCCAGAAACCATTCCCCCTCCCCCCTGGGGCAAGTGGTACGTACACTCCTGAAGCAATGCACTCGAGTAAGAGGTCCACCCCTCTCAGCACTATCTGGTTGCTTGAGGTCCCGTAGGGATACATGAAGCTGGGGGTCGTTTCCATAACCCCTCGGGCTGAAATCAGCAGAAAAAAAAAAACAGACCACTTTTAAAATCTCCTCCTCCATGCCGTTTCTACCAGCAATACACAGAACTGCCTGAGTGGAGAGAAGCGATATAGCAACAGGGGAAGAAAGTATCTGTAGCATCATGAGTGCACACGGTACTTTACTAAGTTAGCTGGTTTTCACGACCATCTTGCAGGACTGTAGTAGGTCATCAGACCATCATCCCAATAAAGCTGGTTCTACTTGGATTCATGTGGATGCACCAACGTTCCACATCAAGCTGAACGAACCCATAATAGAACCACATAACTTCCCTTCCGTCAGCGTTATGGGACCAGTTGCTACACAAGGGTTTGCCAACACACTGAGCTCAGAAGGAATTATGTCCGATTAATAAAGTGCTCCAACTCAAAGCATCTAGAGGGAAATCTGATGATGAATTTTAAGCAATGTTGGTTATGAAATACAATCCGTGCCAAACCAAATTAAGGCCAGATTTGGCATTCAGGCCTTGATCCGGCAAAGCACTTAAGAAAATGTGCAACTTTAGCATCACTGCATACACACATGCTTAAGTGCACTGCTGGATGATCCCCTCAGTTATCCCAGTGCAAGACCCTACCATGGTCTATTGGCCGGATAAGTGTAAATTAGGGCAGAATCTGGCCCTTAATTTCTCTCTTTGATATGGTTAACAAAGAAAAAAGTTGTTAAAGGAAATTCTGTGGACAGAGTGTATAAAATCTCATCTGTAGTTGGGCATCTGACATGGTTCCATATACCATTTCCATAAGGAAACCAGAGACACGAGACTGACATGGAATCACTATATGAACAGGTATAAAACTGGCTAAAACAAAAGTGCAGCTCAGAAACAAGATTAACAATTTAGGGTTAGTTTAGGAAGAGATACTGAGTTGTATTCTACTAGCGTGTGTTCTGGATCTGATACTTCAGTATAAGCCAACTCCTTTCATCCTTATCCAGTCAAGACCCCTGTTGGCTGCTCAGTGGGAATTTTGTCTGCATAAGGACTGTAGGATTTGACCCAGGCCTCAATAGGATTTTGATGCAGTAGACGAGTACGCTACTTAATTTTGTAGATTAATTGGAGCTGAAGCGGTAGAGCTCACAAACAATTTGGTGGACGGAATTAAAACACAGTAGAATCTTGGAAGGAGAAGTTGGCTGAAATCAAATGAGATTTTAAAATAACAAAAGACAAAGTGCTTCATGTAGGACACAGTAATCCAACACACAAATGGAGGCATTTACTATACTGGCCAGGCAGTAGTACCACACAAGAGGATGTGGGTATGAGCAGGAAAATAAGTTGGAGTGACAGTGTTGTCGAGGCCTGTAATAAGGGTGAGGTGATTATTCTGCTCTATTTAGTAACTTTTAGGCCTAAAATGGGTATCGTTCTTTAAAAAACAAAATGAAATTGGAGAGCACAGAGGACAGTGACAAAAACTACAAACAATTAGACAAGGCAACCTAAGAGGAAAGTTTAAGGGAACTAGGGAAAGGTTAGAGAGAAGGCAACTGAGAAGAGACATGACCACTGTCTACAGATACATAAAGGTCTTTCTGTTAAAGATGATTGTAGTTATTAACTTACAACCATGAGGACATAAGATGCAATGGGCTCAGAACAGCAGTAGTGGAAGTGGAACAAAATGGCCAAGGGTAGGTGATGGATTATCAACAATGGGAGACATTCAAGGCTAGAGGAGATGTTGAGTTAGAAAGGGATAATGGGCCCAACTCTGCTATGATGGATGAGTAGGAGTGGAAGTAGCTGGCCCCCTCTGACCCAAAAGATTCTTTAGCTCAATAACCAGCACACATCAGAAATACAGCTCAAGTCAGTTATGCCCAGTGTGTGCCTGTGAGAGCAAGAGGGGGGGATTCTGTGGTACCCGTAGGATCACACATATCTGAGGAGCATCCTATCTGACAGGCTAGTAACTGTTTTTTATTGTTTGTTTCTTAAGGGGAGGGACTGGGATGACAAGGGAAAACAATTTGTGGCGTTCACTCCATTAAGACATCAGGAAAGGTTTGTGATCAGACCCCTCAAAAGAAAAGCTACCTGCAGCCCAAACCACAGCTTCCCAATTGGCTCTGAGCCTACCACACCACAGCTGCGCACACACATCACATGACTTTTAAAATACAAAATGATTAATGGTCAACAAGTGCTGGTGAGACGGTTAGTCAATTATTCGGTTAATGGATTACCACCACGTACAAGCCTTGACCTTACCTTGACGATACAGTACATTTACCAATGCCGTAGACAGATACACATATTTAACTTCTTTCTTACCACTTGATAAGCTCCCTTTCCTAGTTAAGGCAGCCCTACAATACCAGCCCAACACTAGCGTATGAAGGCGAGGTTGCAAACATAGTGGCTGGTGTTATGAAGGCAATACTTGTCTACAGCTACCACGCCATGGTAACAGCATTTCTGGAGGTATTTCCTATTTTACACAGAGAGATGCGGGAAATACGTCCTCTTTGACACTACTCAGTAGGCAAATGTTCATTTTCATGGCAATCACTGTATGGTATAGGTCTAAACAGGGTGCATGTCTCACTTCAACAAGTATTTTGTTTGTTCGGGAGCCAGGGAAGGTACCAGTCAGGGAAGAGAAGCAGTACAAGCAATTTTACCAGCCATATATTAATGATGACAATTAAAAAAAAAAGGAAGGGAAATTAGTATCCTGTCCCAGTTCTTTTAAAGCACCCTACAAACACACTGGGGAGCTCATAATAAGGTTCTGTCTTAGTACATCTGATAAACATTTGCCATTTAACATTAGGGTGCTGCAGAAATCATTCCAGGCAGACATAAACTTCCAATTCCAGATTTGTGGGGACAGTGACAGACAGAAAATGTCAGCCTGCTAGAAAAGTCTCAGTCCATTTCTTTGGTTGGAACATGGAAATAAATAAATAAATAAATTGGAAGTGGATTTTTATACCTGCTCTGCTAGTCATACACCCCGTTATTGCCACTATTGTTCATCTATACAAAATAAACCTCAAGCAGGCGTGATCAGGATAGTTTAAAACAACCACGTAACTTCAGTGCCCGCAGCCCCAAGCACTGAAGTGCTAATCAAAGGCATTTTTATTATTTTCATATATTAACCTTACAGATTTTAAAATTTGGAAACAGCTTGCAGAACATTTAATTTCTACTAAGAACCTTGAAAGAGGAGTTAGATACACATTTAGAAGCTGTATCTATTTGCTTTCTGTACAGCGAGCCACCTTTAAAAAGTTTTCCACTGGTTTGAAATAATTCTATCATTTCCAGTGGAGTTCCTTATCTTAAAGGCAAGAAATTTCTGGCGCCGGTGAATCTTTCCAACTAGTAGAATGTTAATAATGATGATACTTAGCTCTTATATAGCACTTCTCATCCAGAGATCTCAAAGGACTTTACAAAGGATGTTAACTATCATCATCTCCCTTTTACTGAAAGGGAAACCAACGTACAGACACTTTAAGCCCACCCACTAAATAGGCTTTGAGAAGACGATAGCCATTTACTCATTATCAGCCTGGGGTTTAGGTTCAAGACGGATATGTGGCTAGCATTCAGGTCTGGATTACATGATGATGATAATCTCAGGAATTGCTCCCATAACAGTTTTACCCTAAGATCGGACCCTGATCTTATTACATTTCCACCGTATTAGGGTAAAGTTTCAGAAGATGCACCTGCTGCAATTTTGGGTGTGATCTAAGAGAGATGCAGAGGAATGGAAATTGAAGCAAGGTGTTCTTTTGGTCACCAGCTCTGGGGGAGATGTGGGGGCAGGCACTGCTGCATCAGGGCTCTAACTGCATGAAAGTTGGTGGGATTTTTAGGAGACCCCTGATAGCGAAGTTCGATAATAATGAAGCTTTTCGTATATGCATATAATGCCACGCCCCAAATATCAGGATGAAAACACCCCTCTACTCTTTAGCTGCTTCCTTCAATAACAGGTCAGCTCCCGTGATTGTTCAGTGTCTAACTGCAATTCTCAGGATCCACATGCAAGGTAGCATAGACATAGATATCTGGCTCCTCGGAGAGCTGCTCTGTTGGCAGCTCCTGCCTCCGGCATGGTCGCATACAGTGGACATTGTTGTGGGGACGGGAGAGGAAGCAGCTTCCAGCAGCTTCGCTGTAGCACACGCACGGCAAGTTTGCCATGTAATCTCCATCCCAACACACTGTCCACGGGCTGTACTAGTGGGAAGCTCTGCACAAGCTTTCTCTGACACTGGGCTGCTGAGGAGGTTGCCAAGGACTTTAGAATGTGACAGGATCTCAGCTGGTGGTCATCTAAGCATTCAGAAGATGCTGGAGCATCCATTCCCTCCTTGGTGCACAGCTAGAGCCCTGCAAATCCGCGGCCCATTTGTGCGGATCAGATGCGGATACAAATTTTGTATCTACAGCCCTGCAAATCCACTGATATCTGTAGACTATTTTTGCGGCTCGGATGTGGATACACATCTCCTGTTAACTGGACTGATGCATGTGTCTCAGGAGCAGATGCTTTCCACTACCTTTTATGCTTCTGCAGACGGGGAGTTATCCATAGAGGGGGCAGCAATTTAAATATGTGCCAGGGGAGGGCCAATGGGTCTGGGTTTAGGGTTTTGCTACAATTTCTGTTGTATTCTTCAAGAGCGAAGAGCTATTTAATACTAAGTGGTGGTGCTAGCCCTTCTGGCTGTCAAAGGAGGGCTATCCACTGCTGTCTCATTGAGCCTGTATACAAACTCAGACACAGCACTAAGAGGTATGCACATCCCTTGTTCATCTGAATGGGGCATTGCTTTGTGTCCAGCTACTGTTCCTCCTGAACCCCAATGGACGTTCATGGTGCAGCTGGATGTTCCATTTACTGAGCAGTCAACTTGGCAATCTTCCCTCTCATACATAGCCCTTACTCATGCAAGGAAACCCACTGATGCAAATGGAACTCCTTGCATGAGTAAGGGATGCAGGTTTGTGCACCCAACAGGGGAACCTAAGTACCACAGCTAGATGCTATGGCACAAAGTTTTGATCTGAGTCCACATGCCGTAACCGAGAGCCCTATAAAAACTGCTCCCGCTGCCTTCAAAAATCTGCTATTTGGTAGTAATCTTGGCAGCAGGAAGGGGTTTATACAGTAGGCTGGAGCAGATGGGTCTCTTTTGACTCTAAGGATCAACAGAAGGTGAGGGGAGGAGGTGGAGGAAGGGGAAAAAAGCCAACACATATACGTGACTGGTGTCAACTCAGTTACTCCAGTACAATGAAACCTGCGCTAAGGATCCAGAAGTGCAGCAGGTCCTCCTCCATTCCCTTCCCCAAATTTTGAATAGCCATTTAAAAGTATCCCTAAAGTTTCTGCAGTCACGTCCAGCCAAGTGCCTGACTTTTACTTATGGCAATTTGCACTGCAGAAAGACGTTACAGCTATAAAACTTTTCTCTGCAGGTTTACTTTTTACATGAAACTGGTTTGGGCAAATAATCCAATTTGAATGACTAATTAGACACATTTTTCTGTTCGCTAATTTAGCATGATTTTCTCAAATCGATTAGTTATTAAAATAAATTTTCAGAGTAATTTCTAAGAACAATTCTTGGTCTGTAGTTCACTTGTCTACAGTTGATTGGGAGGGTCTGGCATGGAAAGTTAGAGCTGTTGGATTAGACACACAAGGTCACCTAATATGTTTCTTTTCCCCTGATTGGAGGAGCTCAACTCTTGGGGCATGTCTACACTTCAAGCTGGAGATATGACGTCCAGCTCAGGTGCTAGTTCACTAGGAATACCAATGGCTTGGACAGGACAATGGGCTAGCTGCCCCCAGAACCTATGGTCCTGGGCAGGAATGTACTCAGGGCAGCTAGCCTGTCCTGCCACTGTGGCTAGGTCACTCAGAGCTAAAGTGCAGACATCTACATGGGCTGGAAATTACAATCCCCAGGTCAAAGTGCAGAGGGACCCTTAGATTCAGTTTTCCTGTGCGGAAACTCACAGAGAGGAATTCAAAATTCTGTTCCTCTTATGCAGTTTGTGTTACCTTCCTGGCAGAAAAATCTCTGTCCCTAGATTATTTGAGGAGAGTGAACACAAAAATGGTGCAAACAGTGTAAAGGGATTCACTTAGAAATTCAAACTTCTATTTATTTAAACGGCATTTGTCCAGCTTCATTAGCCAATGAGTATTAATCAGATACATTTTAAAGGACAATTCTCTATAGGATTTTGTCTCCATTTTCCCATGGATTTATACCTACTCACAGGCACAGAGGAGAAATCTCCTACTTCCATCGTATGGAGACTTGAATCAGTTTATGTAACAACCACTGCTCCTATTGGAGCTAATTTCACTCTTGACCATTCAAAGCCATCCATACTGGGCATAACTAGTCTTCTCCCATTTCAAGGGCATCCCTGACTTCAGTTAAACACAGCATATCTTCTGACACTGCTACTTGCTTAGCAGGGTGTTTACATTGCCAGCACCGTTCTGGGTTTCTAACATGCCAAATCCCCCTCAATAGTTCTTGAGACAGTTTTCACTCAAACAAAAAAATCCACATTTCAAGAATGAGTTCCCTCCCTCACCCATACGGCATCCCTATTACTCAGAGAGCTCTCAGCAAGTCTCATACAGGGAGATACAAAAGGGGTGGGGGATGTGAATCCTCTCTTGGCCATCTCATTTGGCAGCAAATCATGGCAGAAAGCGCATTTCAATACTCTTGCAAGATTTTATCCAACTTGCTTAGACTTCTGCAGTCAGGCAATATGTTGCCAAAAAAAACCCTGCAAGATTTTCAATTGCTTAAGCAGCAGTATTCCCTATTCTTCCTGATAGTGCAAAGCTTCTACCTGATTTGGAATTCACCTGCTTTGCAGAGCTTTGCTACCTTTCTGATCTAGATAATTCTCCAAGCCATTAGTAGGATGATAGCGTCACAATAACATGCCCATATTACTGCTATTTTCCTCCTTTGGTTGATGACAATGAAATGGCGATCTGATTATAAGGTGGCAGACCTTCTTTGGTCCAGATTCTCTGCTGCTGGGGCCACTAGTGACCTGGTTACTGCTCCCTGATTTCCTGCCCAGCCTTGAATGCACTGGGGGCTGCTCTGCCAGGCACCAAGGAACTGTACGAGACAGTGTCTCTCTCTCCTGCAATGCACATCCTGCTGCGGGATGCAGAGGGGGAGGATAAGAGCTTTAGCATAAGAGTCAGCTATGCTGGCTGTATGCCTAAAAGGGACTCCCCAATGGCAGGGTTCTCCTTAGCTGGGGGTGAAAGGTCTGTCCTCCCTCTGCTCAGGCAGTGCAAAGCAAGACACCTTGAGGAGGGAGGGTCTGAAGAGTGCTCAGACTGAAAGCATGGAGAACCTTTGCATTCTAGCTACCTGAGCGTGAGGACACCACTAGGGTTTGCCTGTGCATATCTGCGGGCAGAACGTAGTCCCTTGTGTTAAGCAAAAGTCCTCTTATGGTTTCAGAGGAAATGGAATCTCTCTCATTATTCTGGAGTCAGTTTCATCCCTGAATAGTCTAATGAGGGGGGAATGATACAGGCTGCACCAGCACTGGGGACATTCTCCCCCAGAGCAGCCCAAACATAACCATGAAAGGCATACTCTGAATTCACTGCATTTGGGCACATCCTCCCACTTCCTCAGCAGCAATATCTTGGGGTATATCTGCCGGAGCTTACAAAGACTGTTATGAACCAGTTTCCAGCACTTTATGCAAACATCCTCCCTCACTACACCACTGAATGAAATAAACCCAGGCCCCCCACTATTATTTACATTATCACATCACTTCCACGACACTCTCAATTTATTTCAGAAGGAAGATCATGCCCTGGGGAGCTCAGCAATTGTGCCTCTGAAGCATAATTTATGAGTATGCTGTGGGCTTCCCCCAACAAATGTATTCTCCTGAGGTAGTTTTTCTGCTCAGACAAAGGGGAGAGAAAGAATCTTCAAAAAGCATTCAAAACATGCATAACACCACTACAAAGAAACACATTACCATACTTTTCAGAAAACCATACATTTCTTTTCCCTTCTCAATGCCTACATTTAGCTGCAAATATAATAGATGCGCTTTCTGAATGGTGAGAAATATTGGATTTTCTTTTTAAGTTTTCTGCTCTTTGGAAAGGGGATCCTATTTGCAGTAGAAATGGGGATTTGGATTCAATTTGGCCAAACCTCCTTGTTGTTTGGGCTTTGTTTTGGTTCATACTCAATTAATCCAAATGCCCCTAATCTGGGGGTTCAGATAATTGATCAGCTTTAATTTTCAATAATTTGGACACTGTATGATATTTTAGGGGGTTTTCTCCCCTCCATGTGCAGTATTTATTAAGTTGAAACTATAAGTACAAAATCAGAACAGGACTACATATATATGGTGTGTAGGTGCATATATATATATATATATATAAAAATATTGCTAACTTGTTCGCTCAATTGCCTTGTCAGTTTCAATGACCAACTAGTGGGTGTTAACACAAGAGTAAGTTGGGTTAGGTAGAAAGGAGTTAGAACATGAAGTTCTCCAGAAGTCAGTGTTGACTCACCACTGTACATGTCAGTGTGATTTCGAAAAGACGTTTCATTATGGGGATTCTCTGTAATAAACAAAAGAACATGAGCGCACCAAAGGCAACAAAGCAAGCACTGAGTAACGGAAGGCGTAACGGAGGAACGCAAGAAAGCAGGAATGAAATACCAAGACCAGAACACAAAATGATTTTGGAAACGTAAAAATACTGCAGCTATGCAACACAAGCACACAAAATATTCCGAAAAGAACAACAGTCCGGAAAGAAAGAAACAGCAACATAAGACAGCAATGAAAGGAGAAAGGACTGCTTCATTCCTACAAGATGTAGAATCAAAACAAAATATAAAAATAAAATATCAACTAAAGGTTTCATAAACACTTTCTGCAATTTAAGTGTTTGATTCTTTTGGTATAAAGAGAGTGTCTGTATCTTTGAAAAATCCAGTTCCAATGTGAGACAAGTGGCTATTTTGCTCTTGATTCCTTGAACACATGAGGGAAGCATGTTTCTTGCTATTTTATGTCCATATAAAACATAGGTTGGCTAAGCCACAGCACAACCACACAGAAAGGTGTGATAAAAATTAACAAAATTAGGATTTAAAAGTAGTTAACTGTAAAATCCTTTTAATTAAAAGTATTTTAAAGTGCATTGTGTCTCATAAAAATCCACTATTCACTAACACACATCCATCAGTCGGTGACAGGCACTCAAATCTAACAACTCTATTTTATGAAGAACATTAATTGGCATTACAGGATTGCTGGATAATAGCTAGAAACATGGGCCAAGATCCACAGCTGGGGTAAATCAGCATTGCTCCAATGAACAATGCTGATATACACCACCTTAGGTTCTGTCCTCACATTTTTAAAATGTATCTTATATTAAATGCTGATTTGGGATCTGCTAAGAGTGATCAGATTTTAAAAAGAGATGCTACACAGCCATCTTACGACATCATCTAATGAACAGAAAGTTTTAGAACATTTAAAAACTGGGTACATTGGTTACAAGAAGAGTCACTGCCCTGAAGCTTAAACATCAACAACATACATCATCTGTTTCGGAAGGGTTAAGATGACTCATCAGGGGTCCAAGAGCTACACGAATCAAGTGGGATTAGGTTTGGAACAAGAATGCAGTCCTACCTCAGTCCACTACAGGAAAAAGTACAGCCTTATCTTTCTACTGAATTTTTACAAACTGCAGGGGCAATTTTCTTCCCTCCCATATGGAATGTAAATAATGGAAATTTAATGTAATCATTTTTCAACAGCTAGATTACTCATTTCTTAAAAGTAGCCAACACCCATAAGGCACATCTCTCTCAACAGCTTTAGACAAAAAAAAACAACAAAAAAACACCTAAATTCAACCTCTTTGAATGTGATATATACAAAGAATTTATTATTGTAACAGCCAGAAAATTAGAACTTCAGTCCACCTTCTATTCAGGGGCCTCCAGGGGGCTTTTGGGATGAAATTTGCATGCTATAATAAAGCCGACATTTCCAAGGGAAGACTTAAGAGAGAGTCCAGTATAATTGGAAGCCACAGTGCAGCAGCCTTAATGAGCCTTTTAAAGGGCCTGAGAGAATGGATGCTGTAGAGATATCTAGATGAAGAATAGCTATCCTACGTGGGTTAGCGTTTACAGCTAAGCATAGACTTCTTAGAGCTCGTCAATTCATCAATAGTTTGTTCTGCACATTCTTTCCTTCAGTCTATTAATATATACAGCTACATCCTCAGCTGGTGCCAACGAGCCCAGTTCCATTGTCTTTGGTGCTGCTACACCCATTTACACCAACTGAGAACCTGGCCCTTTTTTTGCAGCTCAATGTTTTCATTCTTCGACCATCTGTGTAAGTGGATAATTTATCTGAATGTTATTCATCTGTGACTATTCCCATCAATCAGCCAAGAATCTATGTACTTAGCCTTTGTCAGTCACTAAATACTTACGGCCCAGCTCACCTCAGTCTTATTCCTAAGCCCACATGGGGGAGAGAGCACAACAAAGCAGGTAGAATGCTCTCTGCCTGTTTTGATTCTCATGTCAAGTTTTATGCCGTACTGGGGCTCCACTAATTTCAACATACACTGATGTGAGATCACAGTCGAGCCCTACCATCCGGCTCTGGCAGTGTTCTACTCTCACTTTGCAGAGCTCTAAATACGCTCGAGCTGTTCCACAATGTGTAGCATGGTACCTATTGAAAAGCCATATTCCTCCTCCTCTCAAACTATGGCAAATGCTTCTTTAACAGAGCTCCTGTTCCTCTAATTCGGTGGCTGCTTGCCTAGCATAACATGACCCTCCAATCACGTGTTCAAGGCGTGCTGTACCATTCCAAGTTCTCGCGTCTGCTGGCTGCTCCTGGAAGGGTGTGCGGAGGCTTTCAAATGCAGACTCTCTGGCTATGGGAAAAGCTGCCAAGCTGCTGCAACAGGGAGGTTGAAATAAAAAGGAGACGGAATGGAGACGTTGTTGAGGAAACAAATGGGCAGCAGGGAGGGATTGGACTCAGCTTCTGCTGACTCTGAACTGAGACAAGGGGCAAACTTGCAAGGTGAAGCTATGCAGAGAGGTATAACGTTAGCTGTTTCTACCTGGGATGTTCATCGTCCAATTTAATGAGAACAGAAATACACAGCAAACCATTGGTTGTGGGTCCTCCTCCTAACTCCCACAGTGTATAGCCCTGAACTCTCTCTGCATTAGACTTGCAGCCGGTTAATGCTGCTCTCACTGCTATTTCTTTATACAGAGCAGCATCTGGGAGAGCCTGCCCTGATCAGGCGTTTTCAAACACCAGGCCCGCTTTCTTTGATCATCTCTCCCCCTCGAATTATAGTTACAAGGTCTTAGGCCTTCTTCGGTCTTTAGATTTATACTCCAATTTACACCACAGTGTAAACATACACAGGGAGCAGCTAAGCTTCTTGCTCTCAAACTGATGTGACATTATGCTTGCCTCAACCGAGATTGTCCTAGGTGCTATACATATACATAGCAACCGACAGTCCCTGCCTTGCAGGTTTACAACTAAATATTATCTCCTGTCTTCATTCTCTCTCTTACTCCCTCCCTTACAAAATTTCCACATCCGCTGGTGATCAGAACTATGATCTCGCTCCAAATTTCCTCCAATAGACCCCCGTGAAATCCATCAGCATTGGAGACCTGCCTTCCTCCATCAACCAATCTACTTTTAGACCACAGAAGAGAATACTGGTGCCAGGAACTAGCATGTATACTCTCCATCTCATCCCTTGGCTCTTTGACATACTGAGTTACTAGATAGATGTGCATCCCTTATACCTAGAAACAACAAAAATATTCAGAAACAAATCCAGGACTGTCTAGCCTACTATCACTGCAGTGGAGAAAGGATTTTGCAGTCAGCAAAGGTCTCTCAATGAGATTAGAAACATAATCTGGTTTGTCCATCTCCAGCTTCAATGTCTTCTCAGGAGACTTCTCATTATGTAGTTAGAGTGCATTATAAACGGGCTCCTCTTGCCCCTAGAGAGAATGCCCTTCTCTGGGTTGAAACTGAGGTCACCTGCAAGGCAGCACAAGTTTTCGATGCAATCGCTTGGGCTCCATAGGGTCAATTTTCCTGTTAACGTAAGTGGGAGTCTCACAGCTAAACAACAGATCGTTGTTTATAAATAATTTAGCCCTGTGCCGTGCAGCTCATGAGTTAAACGAGGAGACTACATGTGCCAGTCGCCTCAGTGTTCACAAGCACATCATCTTCCCTACCCAATAAGAGCAACAATAGGCTTAAATTCAGGCCAGGCCTAAGCAAGTGAAACTCCAGTGGAATCAAAGGAGTTGCACCAACTTCGAATGGATCTGAATTTGGGCCCAGTATAATTCTGCTCTCAGTTACAGTAGTGAAATCTCAATGAGATAGCACCAAGAACAAAATTGCATCCAGCACGTTTTAAGGATCCCTGGCTGCCCGGGGCTCATTACCGTATTCTTGCATATATTTCTGCATTAATTCAGACTTGTTTAGGGAAGTTCTGTGGAGATGCAATGCAAATGTAAAAGAACTGAGGTCCACAGCACAGGAAATAACCCTAACCCCGGGGTCATCAAGAGCAGCTCTGAGCAAACCCAGGATATTACTCACATATGAAGCCTGGAAACTAAACAGATTGATCTCCCACTAACTGTGTATATAAAAGCTCCCCTACAAAGCGCAGACACGTCTCATCTCTGTTGAAGCTGGTTTTGGGTTAACACACACACACACACACACACACTTATAGCATGAATTATAGGCCTGCTTAGCAGTGAAGTTCTGAAGCATTAGAGAGACATCAATACCCTGCCTTTAGGTTATTGGTCCAACTGCTACATTGACCTTCAACCACCAATTCTTAGGTTATTCTAAACCCTGTCATGGAAGGAAGCGCCCTCCCCCAGAGAGATCTCAGAGCTGCACAGAATGCCTTCTCTGCAGGATACTGCCAGCATGATCCAGAGGGGAGCCCTTGCGGAAAAACTTAAAGAAGCACCAGCCCAACAGGTCAAGGCGACACTTACTGGTTTGGACCTTGAGCGTGTAAGGGTTTTTCTGCTGGATGGTGTGGGTGAAGTGGAAGCGCGCGTTACAGCTGTAGTCAGTTTGGGCATCCTGCAGCATAACGTTGGAGAAGTATAAGTCGCCGTTCTGGCCCTGGGAGACGCGCTTGTCTTGGTGGATTGGCTCCATGGCTGAGAGAGAGAAAACAGGAATTCAAAACAAAAGCCACTGCACTGCTGGACGTCTTAACATCTGCCTTCAAACAACTGGTGCGTCTTCTGGCAAAGCATCTGGAGGGGGCAGCAAATGCATAATTGAGGCAGAGTCATCCAAGTCCAACAAGAGCTGATGAGTACAAACCAGTTCTTGTAATTAGTGGCGTGAAACACTCCATGAAGGAAACAAAATATGAATATTGAGGCTGCCATGCCCCTCATAGACTTTAGAGCAATACACAGCCCCCCTGGCTGGCTGGAAGGGATTCTGTTTGATTATAAGAATTCACTGATTTCCAATGGAACCAATGACGTGGGATGGGAGGGATTTTAAAGAGCTAGCTCCATGTACGAGCAAGGCACTTCCTATCGTTGTAAAAAGTGATTTGCCCCGTAGCTTTGTTTTCAAGCTGCTGCCATCCCCATGCTTGGTTACAGCAGAGGCTCACCTTCTTGGGCCAAATCGCAGACCCGCTACTCCATCCAGCAGCACGCACTGGCCCCTACACTCCCTTCACCCAGCTACCCCCAGAGCAACAGCTCCCCATCCTACCCTCACAGCACCGAACCCCTATGGTTTCATAGATTTTAAGGTCAGAAGAAACCATTGTCACCTAGTCAGACCTCCTGCATAACATCAGCCATGGGACTTCCCTGCTTCATGTCTAACAGGCTGTGATTGAAGTAGAACAGATCCTCTTGCAAAAACATCCTATCCCCCACCACTTTCAGTAAGTGATTCCAATGGTTAATTACCCACACTGTTAAAAACGTGCACCTTATTTCTAGTCTGAATTTGTCCAGCTTCAGCTCCCAGCCAATCCCTCCCCTCCTTTCCATTCCAACCTTTTTAAAACCTGTGAACCACAAAGTGGCTAAAAACTCATGCCATGATCTAACCCCCACAATTCCTGCCTGCAGAGGAGGGTGGGCTGGGACATGATTTTCTCACCAGTTTGTGGGTCACAGGACAAAACGAAACAAAAAATAGGACATTGAGAACACTTGGGCTATGCCAGAAAGCATCAGCTCCGCTGTAATTAAAACGGGGGCAGGGGGAGGTTGAAGTTCTGCATTAAAATACATATTGCGATCGGTCAAAAGATTTCCCTCACTGAAATGAACAGTTCAGGGAGCCCTGGCCACCCAACCACTGTCCCAACTTACAGCTGCTCATCCAGAAGATAACTGGAGGTGGCAGCCCAGGGGGTGGGTTGCATTTTAAAGTCAGTGGGGATCCTTCATCGATCTCTACGAGGTCCAAATGTTCCTTTGGCCACAAGGGAGACCCTGCAATCAGAAGATGTGAGAGACATAGCAGACATTGAGCTGAAGGGAATACACTGGGAGAGATTTGTTTTTTAAATCACATCGCCCTCTCCGAGGACCTGGCCTGGTTTCAGTGGAAAGGCCCTGATGCAATTTTATTTTTATACACACAGGTTTCTTGCAGGGTCCATGTGTTCCTGCTCCATAATGATATTTCACCCTCCGAAAACTACTTATATTGGAGGGTCTCTCAGTGTTGTACAAACATGACTAATGAATTAAGCTTCACGACAACATCCTCTGTACGGCGGGCGTTATTACCCCTATGTTACATATGGGGAAACTGGGGCATAGAGAGGCAAAGTGACTTGGGCATGGTCGCAGAGCAGGTTAGTGGCATAGAAGGGAAGAGTCTCCTGATTCTCTGTTCCACTTCCTAGCCAGCAGACTATGTGGCCTCCTCTAGCAGCTGAGATTGCGATCTACTGTGATCAGCTACAATTGTTGTTTGTGTGTCTGATGCGCCCAGATGCCACAGTGGCAGGTCCATTAGAAGTTACACAGGATACAGTTATTGTAGTTGGGTTGTTGGATACAGGAGTGGGAGGGAAGGAAAAGAAGATCAGCCTATCAGCCAATGCAGGTAATGGGTATTTTATCACCACTATACATCTCTAGTCTGTTTGCAAGGCTGAATTAATAAAATGAAACAGATACACATACCACCAGATGTGAAGCCAGATGTGGCATTTGCGTGGCAAATATTTCCTTCCCAGCTTCTGCAAACCCTATGTCATGCAAACATTTTTTTAACCCAAACCAGAGCCACTCAACTACCTGAGGCTATAGACTGCCTGGCTCAGTCTTGAGAGAGGAGCGACAAGTTTGCATTACTCACTGGAAACCTGCAGGAGGATTTTGCTGGAGAGCGCTGTCCCGTACTCGTTTCGAGCAGAGCACTGGTATTCCCCCTCATAATCCTCCGGCCTTCCACCGCCACGGAAGTCGATGACCAGTGTCCCCGACCTGCGCTGCATCGAGACCTTCGGGTCCTTGGCCACGTTGAAGAACTTCCCATTCCGTGTCCAAGAAAAACTGCCAACATTGGACATTGCATGTATTATGACAGGTTTCAGAGTAACAGCCGTGTTAGTCTGTATTCGCAAAAAGAAAAGGAGTACTTGTGGCACCTTAGAGACTAACCAATTTATTTGAGCATGAGCTTTCGTGAGCTACAGCTCACTTCATCAGATGCATACCGTGTGCATCTGATGAAGTGAGCTGTAGCTCACGAAAGCTCATGCTCAAATAAATTGGTTAGTCTCTAAGGTGCCACAAGTACTCCTTATCTTTTTGCATGTATTATGTAACCATGTGCCATGACCACATAGGAAGAGTCTTACTAGCTACAATACAGTTACATTTAATGTATGACCCATTAACTTTCCTATCTAATAAGAGACACGACATGGAGTTGGTTGCTCTTCCACAGAGTGTGCCAGGCTTTTGCCCCTTGTGTATTCCCACATTAAATCTATTTGGGTATTTATATGGCCCTTGTCACCATAGGGTCTAAATTCCATAGCTAAGTTCTGTACTGTGGAAGGTAAGGAGCCCAATTCTCTGCTGGTACAATGGAGCTATGCCAATTTACACCAGTGGAGAGTTTGGCCCGAGGTACCCAGAAAGACTCACTGTTGTCCAGTGCAAGAATGTCTTTAGATCTGGTTCCCCTTTTTGCTGACATCAGTAAACTTTTCCGCATCTCAAAAATAGCAGGACCTCAAGGTCATGAGAACTTTAAAATGCACTCACGTAGGAATGGGGTTCCCTTTGGCTTCACATTCAATGAAGATGTTATCCCTTGGGTCTACAATATAGTCCTTCACAGACTGCTCTGTAATCGTGGGAGGTTGAGACACTGCAAAGGACACAGAAAGAATGAGGAGAAACCCTTTACTCATCATCCTGCAATGGAATCCTCCTGGGAATTGAGACTTCCCCTGTGGGAAGTCACTGTTTTTATTCATTATCTTTGAAATTGCAGGGGTCAGTAGAAGGACCCTTCAAAACGTAAGAGCCGCATATTTCTCATCTAAGTGACTCAAGCTCCCTGGTCAAGCAGTTCCCTGCCACCAGCAGGCCATCTGATGTGAACTAAAAATTTAAAAAAATAAAATAATCATCTCTTTATGAAAGAGACTGAACATGAAAGCAAAACTCAGCTAAGAGCTTTCAAAGACAGAACACAAACGTACGTGTTTTACCTAAAAGTTCCTGCAAGGAACAATCAAGGTAGCACACATTCAAGACAATGGTTTGAAAACTTCCATGTTTAGCCAGAGATAGTTCTAGATTGGTATCTAGGAGTTAATGGTTTGGAAAGACTAAAGAATATACCAATGACAAGTTTAAGGTCAGGTTCTGAACCATTATTCTATATTTAACATCAGTGTAGCTCCAGAGACTTCAACAGACTTATCCCTGATTTGCACCAGGATAACTGGGGATCAGACTCTGAACCCTAGCCTCTTACCCCAGCCATTGGAAATAGCTTAAAGAGGAGATACATGTTCATTACTAATTTGGTATATGAAATTGATCTGACATGCATGTTCATTATTTAGTAGGGTCGGCAAAACAGATGCAGTTCTCCTCCAAAACAGACTTTTAGCAATAACAATTCTCCAGAGAGTTAGTGTTTGTGTTGCAAGATTAAGGTTTTGCTGGGACATGATAGCCGCTTTATTAGAAGTGAAATCTCCTTAGAGCAGTGGTTCTCAAACATTCCCACAACATGATCCCCACATTATGGATTACAATTTCCCCCCAATCAAAGGTCCACTTCCCTCACAAAAGGCTCCAACTCAAGGTTAGCTTCCCTCTCTCCCCCCTGCAGAACATTTCTGAATCCATCTTCTCTTTGCTGCTATTCCCTGTAGCAGATCATCTTGCAGGGGACATTTTGAGCACATCTGTTTCGTTAGTGTCCTCTCTGGTTCTGGTTAGGCTTATTTCCTGCCCGCACACCCCTTATGTACAGAAAAGGAATTGACATGGGGCTAATTAAGCCCGGACACTTCTTAATCTGGGTTCCAGTGTCAGATGTAGTCTAGGGGGCAGTGAATCTAAGGCAGGATGTAGGACAGAATACAGCAGAGTCCCTATCCCCTTCCCCTCAGCTAACACCACAACCTGGCTTCTTACCTTCCCATTCCTCTCTAAAGGTGCCAAAGGAGGGGGAAGAGCCAGGCTGCTTCGGAGCGGAGATACATGCTCATCTCTGAGCTACGCAATGAGACACGGGCAATTCTAATGTTGCCCTTACAGAAGATCTGTTCCCCACAACCCAGAGTTCATGCCCTCTGCGCACACAGCAATTCAAAGGAGACGCTGTGCACGCCAGGAGAACGGGTCTTCAGGCAGTTTTCAAATTCAAAGGCACCAACTGCCCACTGCTGAAGGGGAAAGAGTAGAGCTACGCTGGACAGGAAGGGGGAAGGTAGGGAGTTAGGTTGGAAGCAGACAAATGGTGGTAGGAGGATGGTGAAAAGAAAGTGAGAATCTCATTGCAGGATAAAATTGGAAAGGAGTCCTTATAAACCACCATTAAAAAGGATAACCTCTCTGAAGCTCTCCACCTACAGTTTGAGAACCGCTGCCTCGGAAGCTGGTCTGCTGTGTCTAGCTGTGGCCCATATTTGCAGCTCTGACCTACATTGAGAATCCACTCCTTTGCAAGAGCCATTAGAAGTATCTGCAAATTAGGGCATCAGGTTCCAGTCATGTACTGGCCCCGATTTAAAATTAGGAGCCAGACTCTGATCTAGTGTAAATCCAGAGTAACTCTTGTTAGAGTCAACGGACTTATGTTGGCATAATGCAGATCAGAATATAGTCCTAGGATGGGGCCCTTTTAGAGGCAGCACTGGTTTAGAATTGTTCAACCATTTCCAGATGTCTCAGTCAACTGGCCAACGTTCAGATGCAGTGGATCAGACAGTCTGAGGAGGCAGGGGTGTGGCCAGACTCCCCAAGCTCCAAGGAACAGCTCATGCTCTTAAAATCTCAATCTTGCAACAGATTCTGCTTTAGTGGATTCTGTTCCTGCCTCGCCATCACAAACCATTCAAATTGCTCATGCTGCAACCCCATGCATTTTGTGCCAGGCAACAACCTCTGCTTCCCACCAGTGGGACTAATGTACAAAAAACAAGTCAGGGTAGGACTTACATTCACTCTGAATATTTGCTGTTAGTTCCAAAGTGTAAGCATTATAAAAAAAAAGAAACAAAAAAAGGTTAATTGAAAAATAATCCAACAGATTACGTACACAACATGGCTATCGTAGGGACTACAAATATATCAATATCCAAACATGGCCACTTTAGAGTAAACAAAGCAATTGCCTTCTAGCCCACTTACCTTCATTTAAACATGGGAAAATCCCTCCATCAAAAACATGAGTCTTTCATATTCACAATGAGAATTACATGTTCACAATGAGAATTACGTGTCCCAGGCCACTTCCCTCCAACCTGCCTTTTAAAAACTGCCCGTGTGAAGTTAGTGAGGTTGAATGGTGACAGATCGGCAGCTCTGGAGACGGATGGGCCATCCTTATTCCTGAGATCAGTACAGAATGCACACTGCCAGAGCAAACGTCTCATCCCACTGCCACCAATATGCCCCATCCCAGAGTTGGATGGATCGCCTTCAAGGATAAGAAAGCAGTTCAGTCTCTCTGGGCAAATTCCGTCCTTGGCCTTGACTGCTGCGACTGCCAACAAGGGGCCACAGGTGCCGACCGTGGGGGTGGTGGTTGGTTAGAGAGATGCTTTTCCGCTAGGCACTACACTGCAAACCAATGACCGCCCATCAGGATACTTATCGGATAGTGGTAACTTGTGATCCCTAACCTTGGGCTTGAACTGGTGGCAAATTCAAAAGCCAGTTACTGAGCCCCTTATGCCAGCCCTCCAGGCAATCAAGTAGCTGATGTGGGGTTTAATAAGTCTTGATTTGGCTAACTAAGTAAAAGCCCAAAGCAACCCAGGCACCTGTCAGATGTAGCATCTGACCAAGGGATCATAAGGCATCTTAATTGCCATGGGAGACATCATGCCTAATGTACCTGCCTCCCCACAACCCTGCATCAGGGTCTGCCTCCAGGCACCAGTGTTTATTTCCAGAGCCGAACCATGAAAGGCCTGTCAAGCTCTTCATTTAGCTGTTTAAACAGATACTGGTAGCAGCTGGCTCTCTGCCAAGACCTGATGGACCACCGGGGCAGGGTGAAAGGGGACAAGGAGGCAGTTCCGTTGCCTGGTTGTAAGAGCTGAACCAGAAGCTTTCCCAATGTAAAGAGAAAGCTGAACACAGCAAATGGGGAACAAACCGCTGACTGGCCAACCAAGCATATGGAAGATACTGATTCCAAGCTGGAGGAAATGAGTGTTAGCACAATGGTCCATGGTAGGGTGACCACATGTCCTGAATTTATAGGGACAGTCCTGATATTTTGGGGCTTTTTCTAATATAGGCACCTAATTACAGCCCCCACGCCAATTTTTCACACTTGCTATCTGGTCACCCTAGTCCACAGACAACTTCCCTTCCTCCCCATGGTGCATCACTGTTGTGCTGAGATGTGACACGTGCACTGTCCACACATCATAGCGGGAAGCTCCAGCTCCATATTCAGCAATGCCTGCACAAGACTTTGGTCTCAGTGAGCAAGAGTCGATAGAAGAAGGGAGCAGAAGGGTCTAGGAAAGTTTTTGTTTAGAAAAAAAAGTGGAAGAAAAATAATCCAAGCTACTCAATAGCAGGGAGACTTTTCCTTGTGATACACATGTTTTCAGATATGTTTGTAGAGCACCTAGCACGAAGAGGCACTGAACCCAGACTGACCTCTGGATACTACTGTAACAGAAGGTGAGAACCACACGGTTAATTTTAGAGGGACCTAGTTAGGCTTTTAAGGAGAGTCACTGATTTATTTGGATTTTTAATGGTCTTGTTTTAGTTGCTTATCGTAACTTGTTATATTTCTTTACAAATTTTATTGAAAGCAATAAGCAGGTAAAAATAAAACAATATTAAGGCTAAACTATTATACTTTGTGTTAATGAAGGGTTAAACAATACAATTCTATTAACATTATAAGGTTAGAATTCATTTAAACTAAAGACAAGTATTATTCCAATATATGCTATGTCTTTTCCAACAAATAAAAATTAACATTGTCTATAATACAAAAACAAAATTGGTTTAAGAAAATTTGGAGGGGTGAGAAGAAGAGGTGCAAAAAACCATATTTTAAATTATAGAGCTATAGTTTGGTAGCGTTAAGACCCTTCAAGTGCCACAGTGGTTTATTAATTGACTGCATGAGCTATGCATTATTGAATGGTTCACCCCAGGATCTCTAAATGCAGTAACGGAACTATTCTAATGCAGCTATATAACAAAAGACATAAACTTTCCTCTTTATAGTGCTTTGAATCTTCAAACCCCACTAATCTGTGTTTACAACACTCATCACACAGTAAGAGTATTATCCCCGAAATTACAGATGGGGAAACTGAGGCAGAGGGGGCAGTGACTTGCCCAAAGTCACAGCGAGTCAGTAATAGAGTTGGGAAAAGAACAGTCTCCTGACTCCTAGTCTGCTGATCTAACCACTAGCAAGCACTGCCTCCCTATTGCTATAAAGGCTGAAGAGTGAAATACTTTAACTCTCCACGACTCCCTTTGCACCTTCTTAAACTTGACTGCAATCTATGCTCAAGCTGGACACGCAACCCACTAGCAGTTGTGTTTGCAAGCTCTTTGAGAGGGAGTTTCCCAGTTAAAGAGGCAGTGTCCCCATTTATGGAGATTTGCTACAATCCATGCACCTGTGGAAAGAGCTTATCCCCATGAAGGAGGGAAGTCCTGTGCAGTTTGTAATACACAGGGAATAAAGCTCATCTGCTGAGACAGCTTGCGATTTGCACACTTATCAGGGCCCAGCACAACCCAGGAACAGCTGTGGCTATTTATGCGCCACCTGCTCGACTTAGTAAAACCTGTAACCTTTCAGGTTCAAGATGGGAGTGATGAATTAATTAGTTAAATCTTGGAGCTCAACAATGGGAAGCCACAAAAGGGCTAGCGAGACCTGATCACTGACTGGGTTAAAAGTGAGATTAAAACGCCAACTCCCCAGCAGCTCTAAACGTTTCGTCAGAAGGAGAATGCAGCTCACATTTGACGCTGTCAAAGAGTTAAATGAAACTATTTGAAATGGACTCAGCTGGGTGGGACAGATGTTGGCAAGACCTTTAACTCCTGCATTGATTTGGGACGCCTCACTTTTGGATTTCATCCCACCACAAGTCACTGTGGCGAAGTCCAACAATGCTTTGAAGTTCCCTACATTGCGCAGAGTTCATTTGAATTTCCTCAAAAGAGGATAAATTAGGCAAAGACAGGCACACCCTGCCCTGGAGCCTGGCTTCCCCTTTGTTTTCTCATCTGGCTACATGCAGTCTCACAAAGGTCCTGTCTGAATGGTGGTTATGGTAGTAAAATATGGTTGTTGGTTTCAAACTCTGGTTTCAAACAAAGCATGGACAGGGTCAGAAAGGGAAATGCTGTCCCTCAAGAGTAGGGGCAGCCAGTGGGGTACCATTGGCTCTTTTCCTTGCTCTGCCAGAGGCACATGGGCAAGGCACCTAGGGACCATCTACACTAGCAAAACCATCATATCAGTGGGGTTGGAGAAGGGCCTGGTGTTATAATTTATTGTCCAAGGATACTTATGATAGATAACAGAGTTTGGCCCTGCCTGTATAGCTAGGACCAGAGTATATTAACAATCAGGGCAGTAAGCACAATTTGGCTATGTCTACACAGGCAAGATCAAACTGGCTTATGATACCATCCATAGTTTTGCTAGGCTAAATGGATCCTGTTCCCTATTCAACAAATGGCAACTCATTTTACTATCGATCTTAGGTATTTAAAGAGTGCCCGTCACCTTATTGAACGTAGCAGAGTAAAAAAATCATAAAAGTAAAACATGGCATTTAAAACTACCTCTGCTTCTGCACGTCTCACCAAGAGATGTCAATACTTTCCTTCCTCCCAGGCGGTGGTGTGAGGAACAAGCAATAGGCGCTTTAAGTTCCTTAGATGGGAGGTAGCCGAGAAATGGAAAGTAATATTCCACTGCACAAGCTATAAGCATTTCTCTCTACTTTTCTAGGGTCGCATTACACTTGACTAGGCAAAACGACTCCTTCCTCCATCCAAGGCACAAGGAACAGCAGCAGGAAGCTCTTTTAAAATCAATTACGTTTTGTCTGGCCATGCTGCTTCTCCTTCCGTTTCCGGGAGTTTACATTTCCAAAAGGGCTCTAAGTTCTTAACAAAGCCAGGCCTGATACGCGACACAATCAAACTGTGTGCGCAAAATACATTCTCACTGTTGGGAACAACAAAGTGCAGCGTGCTTGTTACACCACCACCAACTGCAGCTACACAGAGTTTTTCATCCCAGATCACTCTGAATTAGGCGGAGCAGGGACTTGAGCATTGGGCCCGGGTCCCAGGCTAGGACCCTGTTCACCAGGATCCGGAAGGCAATGAGAGAAGAGTGTGCCTGTCCAACTCTCTTTCGCTCTCAAACCTTCCTGACGAAAACTTTTTCAAAACCGATACATTTAGATCAAAAGAGCCTATTTCACCACCAACTAGCTAGCATCGATGTACGTAAGACCTGTGTGAAAGCTCACCTGTGGGCGCATCCTTTGGAGCTCAGGCCCACATCTCTCCTTCTGAAACTCTCAGAAAGAGCAAACGTCCTTTCCATCCATCACGGACTTTTGTCCATTTAAAGATCCCATTACGAATTACCTTATCTGTGAATTCACTCCAAGCCTTCCTCATACACCTTGTCTCTCTCTCTTCTCCTGTTCAGTCTCTCTCTACATCTAGGCTCTGTTTCAGCCACAGACTTAAGCATGTGACAAACTTAAAGCATGTAAACAGTCCCACAGAAGTCAAGACTGTCCCCATGCTTCAAGGTAGACACATGCTTAAGTGCCTTGCTGAATGGGGCCCTGCATTCACCCACTCACCCAGTTGGCATGAGAGCCTCATCCATTGCAGCTCCTGCCTCGTGGAGCCGTCCTACATCTTTCCACCTGTTTCCAAACTTTGCGTAAAAGCACCTCTCTTGCCCATAATTTTTCAGTCCCCCGCCCCTCCTTGGTCATTTAAGTCAGGAAAGCATTTGAGCACAGTTTGTATAACTAGAGTGTCTAAGACAGACCAATATTATACTGTCAAGGGTACAACCTCCCATCTCAGGAAGCGTCATGCTCCCTTAGCCGGAAGTTAGGCCTTGATAATACTGTGCCCGTCTATAACACTGTTCCTAAAAGGATTTCCATGTGCTTCAGAGTTGCAATGAATTCTGTGAGGGGGTGGGGTGGTTAACAACACCCCCTTTTACACAGGGGGAAACAGAGGCACGGAGAGGTTAAGTAATTGACTCAAGTGGCTGAGCCTGGAATAGAATCTCAGCCAATGTGGCCTTTGCTATACTCTAACCACTTAGACGACACTGTCTAGAACAGGACAACACAAGGTCAGACATTTTCTAAGCACTGGCCTTAAGGTGGCTTAACAAAATCATTCAGCAGCAATTTCATTAGCCTGCATTTTTTCCCCATGTTTATCCTCCTGAATAGAATATAAAACCTGCCTAATAATTAACCCAAAATGGCCTGATGGAGGGGGATAAAAATTGCAGAGATGTACATGCAACTTTCCCGATATAACCCAGTTTCCTCCTCCCGTTGGGACCAGACCTCTCTACATCTTGATGACAGCGTCTGCCTGAAAGGACTGCTAATGAGATTCTCTCCTCCATGAAGGAGCACCCCATACACAGTCTCCATAGTAATTGCCCATATCGTACATCTTCAGAGTCTCTTAATTATCAGTGGCATGTCAGCTACTGGCTGCCTTAACACAGCAGCAACCTGTAGGATGGAAGTGCCCTCATTTCCAGTAAAGCCCATTAGGGTGAATCCATGTTTCTGCTGGCAATAAAGGGTAATTACACAGCAGCAGAGCACCTAAGAATAGCAGAAGAGGATTCTGTGCATCTTGGTGAACTTCAAACACCTATCAAAGCCAAACAAATATGACAGGGTTTTCCTCAGCCCAAGTACAACACAAGGGCCTTCAATTAAGTGGGAATAAAGAGGAAACCTTCTTCTCCCCTGGTTCTCCTCTCAGCTCCAGCATGCTTCCTCCCTGACTGTCAAAATGAGCCCCACTTCTCACCCGTCTTATATCACACTAGGGAGGACAGTGCGTTACTTACCCTGCACATCTCTGCTGACATGTGCACCTTCACCTACTCAGAGGGAGAGGGTTATCCCCTCCTTCTCACCTATGGACAATATCTATACGCCCTGTTCAACTCCTCTCCCAAGGCCATCATCCCCGTGGGAATTATACAAAGCAACACTTGCAAGTGGGCACAAGGGTCTTCCCATGTGAAGTCACTGCAGGACTGGAGCCCCAGGTAGCTTCAGGTCCTCCCCTAAACAAGGGCTCCAACAGCTTCAAAATCAAAACAGTTTAGCTAAGCAACCAAACAAACATGAGATGCATGTTGGCACTGGAACGGGACTTTAGGTGTGGACCCTGGGGGGGGAAAAGGGGAGGGGGGGGGGAGTCACTTGGACTCCTGTTCTTCCCTCTTTGCAACTACTCTCCAGCCGATTAGCCTGCAAAAATGATCAGCATCCTCATGGGACACGTTCCAGGAAAATGCCAGAAATTCTGCACGAATATTCATCTTGACATTATTTCTTTACAAGGAAAAGCTTAGCTTAGATGCAGCATTCACTGCAGTTTCCAATCTTTAGCCAATAAAGTTGCCTAAAGCACAAAGAGCTCAAGAGACTTGCCCAAGGTCACATAGTGAATGAACGGCTCAGCCCAGACTGGAAAACCCAGGGTCGCTCTGGCTCCTGAGTCCTTCGCTCCAACCATTACACCACATGGCTCCCCGAACGGAGATTTTTAGAGAAAGCTGAACATAAATCTAGAAACTTACGATCGAGGGGAACTTCGATGGCTCTGATGACATGATGAAGGTACAGAGCAAACACCACTCCTGAACAGGTTAGGAGGGACTGTTGCATTACCATTGTGAACGTTTGGATAGTACTATGCTTCCACTTTCCTTCACTAAGGCAGGCCGGCCTCTTGCCACAGTAGCTGTACTCCTCGGATTCTTAACTGCAAAATAAACACAAGCCACAAATTAATGAGCTGATTATAGAGCGCTCTGTATTCCTCGTTTTCTATTGGGGTAGCTCCTAGAGGCTCCAGTGAAAGATCTGAGTCCCATCGTGCTAGGCACTGTACATACACATAGTAAGAGAGGGGTTTTGCCCCAAAGGGCTTACAGTCTTAATATCTGCGTGCTCCAGAGATGTTAGCTCAACAGAGTCCTCTTGCATCTTCGCTGGCTCCCAGTCATTTGATGACATACAATCAGAATACTTGGAAAGATGTACATGAACTCAAGATTTAGAAAAAAGAACAGGAGGACTTGTGGCACCTTAGAGACTAAAATTTATTTGAGCATAAGCTTTCGTGAGCTACAGCTTATGCTCAAATAAATTGGTTAGTCTCTAAGGTGCCACAAGTCCTCCTTTTCTTTTTGCGAAGACAGAGTAACACGGCTGCTACTCTGAAACCTGTCAAGATTTAGAATCTAACCTATTCAAAGTGCTTTACATCAACAGTCACTATTTCATCTTCACAACACCCCCCCCCCCATGAGATAGGTTAGTCACAACTTCCCCACTTTACAGGTGGGGGAAAGTAGACACAGGTCCAAAGCCACACCATGAGTCAGCGTCAGAGCCAGGATTAGAACTCTAGAAGCCCTGGCTTCCTGGCCTGTGCTCCATCAGATCACGCTGCTCCTCATAAATAATTTGATAGTCAAGGAATCCACACCTCCAATCTTGTAGCAGAATCCCCCTTTAATAGGAGTTGCCTAATCTGCTATAAGAATTGCCCTAGCCAGAGATAATAAAATACACATATTTAAAACCTGGAGCACATTTTAAAAAAATGCATCAATGATCAAATTCTGCTCTCCATTACAAGGGTACAAATCTGGAGCAGCTTAACTAAAGCATCCTCTCTGTATACAACCAAGGAATAGTTCCCAAAGATATACACTGAACCAAAAGCAGACTGTGCTCCTGCAATCGGATCTACACTGACTAGCCCTGATGCCTTATGCATGGATCCAATTGCAGGATCGGGGCCTTAGAGCACCTTAATGGAGTCACTCAGAAATACGGGGGACAGATTTTTAAGTGCTCAGCACCCACAAGTTCTAATCTGCACCAAACAGTTAAGCAGCCAGCAGCTCCTGCTGTGACCTTTATGGCTAAACGGTGAGTATTGAACTCTTGAAAATATGGTCCTGAGTATCAGATAGAGGACCATGCAAACTATCACTGTAGCATATGTCCACTGTACTTAAAATTCAAAACACAAGGAATGGTCAAAATCCAAAGTAAGAGAATTCCAAACACTTCAAGGAAACCATTCTGTTTGTACTCAGTTACTCTTTCGAGAAGTCTAGAGATAGTTGAATAGTGGCAAACAATTTTCACAAACCCTGACGAATTAGATACCAAACTCAGGTTTGTTATGTTCACAATCCCACTGATAATTTTCTTCACAAACATTCATCCTAATTCAACTCTGATCGGGAATAATACTGAGAAATCAGATATTCATTTCAGGATGGAAACAGGATCATCATGCTGTGCCTGGTGACTAATTGTAAGTTACTCAGAACTAGTGAATAAAGAAGCGTGAAACCAACAACTGTGTGAAGGAAAACCAACAGGATTTTTCTTCTTTAAAGGCTGAGTAAAAATACAGAAGATGCCTCAAAAAAACCCCCAAAACAACCCCTCCCCCTACCAAAACCCCTCAACCAACCACATTAAATAAATAAATAAAAATCCATGTTGATTTGTGAATATCAAAAAAGTGCTACATTTCACTGAAGAAAGCTATGCTGGGAACAGTTCGAAGCTCTAATGAAATCCCATGCAATGTACTTCAGCAGAGTTGATTGACAGTAACAATTATCCTTCTTCCACTATGCGGTGTTAATACCATACAGTATGTTACAAGGTAACAGGAAGATTTTCGGTCATTTATGGATCAAGGAAAGCTGAGCTCAGCTGTAGCACCTCTGTGTCAGGAAGCTTTCTGCTTTTTACTCAATTTTCCAGCTGGACTGGCCGAGCTACTGAAGGTCAAGAGACTTGCCTGGGGTCATGGCAGTGAGTCAATGTCTTAACTGGGAGCCTTCTGGCTCCTACTCCTTTGTTCTAAACACTACACCACATGGCCCTCTTCTTATCATGCTTATGACACACAGAGGAGTTTTACTCATGAGATAAATCCTGTCTTCCCTAACAGCCCTCTTACGGAAGTCAATAGGCCCAGTTCTGCCCTCTGACAGGCAAGCAGAGCTCTCAGTAACTCCAATGTGAGTTGTACAGATAGAAGGGAAGAAAGAACTGGCCCACCTGTGGTTGACAAGTATAAAGAGTAAGGGCCTGATCTTACTCCCATTAAAGGGGATGGAAAAACTCCCTTAACTTCATTGGGAGCTAAATCAGACTTCAAAACAGGAAAATCCTCCCCCTTGTGCAGAGGGCCAGCACAGGGGCTTATGCACCACTCCTATTTGGAGAACATAAGCAGTGCTTAGGCCTGGCACTGAACTGCTGCATGGGTAGAAAGGCACCCAAACAGATGGCGCGAAGCAGTGCTGCAGAGAATCTTGCACATATGCAACTCCTGCCCTGCAGAGGGGCATTGCGCATACTCAGTTTATGGGAGCCTTTCTAATGGTTTTTAAATGAGCGGATTTTAAAACCTGCTCCAGTTATGGCTGCTGCAGTTCAGAATAACTTCTACTGCTACACCTGGAACTGGCAGACTTCTGATTAGTGCTTTCTAGAGCATGCCCTCAGGGACATTTTGGGAATCAATGAAAACTCCTACAGAAACTAGGGGAAATTTTGCCTGAGAAGGGACTGAGCACTTCAAGGTTTGAGCCTTCACGGACAAATTTCCTCCTCTCCCTCCAGTCACACCTAAGAATCATACTGAAGCCATCTGGGCTGCCCAGATATAAATGGCGGCAGAATTTGGCTCAGCATAATAGCCATTTAGTTCTGCTTCATCTTCCCATACATAAGAGAGTCTTTTGAGGCACACAGGGTACATCTGTGAGATGCAACCATACACTGTCACATCAACAAATCCAACACCCTCTAGAGTTTTCACAATGTGAAACATTTCAACCCCACCCGTGTTTTTTTAAAAATCAGTAACATGGATTAAAAGACAAGGCAAAGGAGAATAAATTATCTTTTTCACAGGGCTTTCGTAATTCATCAGAGATTATGTCATGCCTGAGTTATGACGGTGTCTTTAATAGTATTATAAATATTGGACCTCAGCGGCAGATGTGCAGACAGTCCTCTCTTAGCTATTACCCAACATTAAGACAGGGCAGCAAATAGAAATAAGTCTGGAGATATTCTGCTATGTGATATTTCCTCTTTCTTTGCACAAGGTTTTTTTCCCCCCGCGTGTTACCAGATGAGAGAGTGGTGCAAGGGCAGGTCATTTGGCAGACAAGGAAAGCCCAGATTCATGATAGATAAATAAACTGCTGGATGCTGCTAAGACTTCAACTGACCCTGAATGTTGTAAAACACAAAGTCCATCAAGAAAAAAAAAAGGGGGGGAGCGATGCCTGGGTTTAATCCACAGACCAGTCTCCCCAGGGAAGTGGGGGAGGCTTCATCCTTGGGTGAACTGAAAGCTAAACTGCACTGTCCTGGAGAATGCACCACAAGGAACAATCCTGCCACAGGCAAGGAGAGGATGACCTCTAATTTCTGTAGTTCTAGATACCATGACTAGCCACCTGTAGGAAAAAGCAGCCGCGAAACAGAAGAATATTTATTAGCTATGATTAAGTTGATTTGCTAACTGCTTGCACGGGGCAGTACATGTGGGAAAACCCCACTGAAAAATACACACTAGGAAACAACAGGAACAGCCATGCAGGATCTTTCCATTCCCCTCACATCGCTGCAATCTGCTGTGTTCCATCAGCCTTGGTATTGCCTGATACCAACGTACTAGCCACTCCCACTGAAAGCACTCCTCCTTCCAACATAGCATGGGATTATTTGGCCCCAGGGAGCTACCACCATTTTCTCAGAGGAAAGCTCTCAAATGTAGGGCTTTCATAGTACTGTGCCATAGTCACCTATGAAATTCACCCCTTCTGCAGAGATCTCACCACCTTCCCGGCTTCAGAAAAGGTGTTAAGAACATAACTGCCAGACCATACGAGACCCATTGTCCAATCGAGGCCAGTATCCTGTCTCAAGACCTGGCCAGCACCAGCAGCCCAGAGAGGTGTAAGAAACCTTGTAGGAGGCAGTGATGGGATGACCTGCCCTCCACATCAGGTCTCCTCCTAATCTCTAATAAAGATAATCTTAAACCCTTAAGCATGAGGTTGCATAGGTCTTCCAAACTTTGTTAGCAGTAACTGTTACAGAGCTCACAATGAACAAACATCTGAGACCTACCAAAGGTCCTCCAGCAAAAAAAAGAGAAAAATCATTCTCCACATGCCTGATAAGTTTTTTTTTTTTACGGAACGGGAATCTCCCCCACCACCCCAGCATTCACTGCAGGATATCTTTACCCACCAAAGAACTAAAAACCAAGAAAAGCCCAATTTTAAAAAAGCCCTGGCAGGTCTAGCAACGCGCAGGTCTGGCGCCACCTGTGCAGGATTGAATTTCACCCTCAGAGCAAATTAAAAGGGAGTTAATTTGTAGGGCTTAATTTGTAGTGAAAGAGGTGCCAGGGCTCAAGCAATTTTTTTTTAACTTTCATAAGTGATGTGGCAAGCAGAGGTGCCAGGGCTATGAACTGCCAAGCCTAGAGGTGCTGGTGCTCAGCCCTGGCACAAATTAAGCACTGATTGGCCCCCCTTACCAAGTTGTTTATTAAGCAGAATGACAGTGGGAAAGTCCAATTGGATCAATATCATCATCTCACAGAAGATTAAACACTTGGGATTTCAAACACTCTTAAGGGAGCGAGGAGATGGACAGTCACTGGGATTCAATGGCAGTTGGGTATTTAAATTCCCTAAG